AGGTCTAGCTATAAGACAGGTCTAGCTGTAAGACAGGTCTAGCTGTAGGACAGGTCTAGCTGTAACAGGTCTAGCTGTAAGACAGATCTAGCTGTAAGACAGGTCTAGCTGTAGCAGGTCTAGCTGTAAGACAGGTCTAGCTGTAAGACAGGTATAAGACAGGTCTAGCTGTAAGACAGGTCTAGCTGTAAGACAGGTCTGGCTGTAAGACAGGTCTAAGACAGGTCTGGCTGTAAGACAGGTCTAGCTGTAAGACAGGTCTAGCTGTAAGACAGGTGTAGCTGTAAGACAGGTCTAGCTGTAAGACAGGTCTAGCTGTAAGACACGTCTAGCTGTAAGACATGTCTAGCTGTAAGACAGACAGTTCTAGCTGTAAGACAGGTCTAGAATACCTGATAGGGCAGATTTAGCTATATGCAGGGGCAAGTGTAGGTTTAGCCAGTCCAGGTAGAGTTGTTTGGCAACAGTTTGTAAGGCGAGCTATTTCCCAAAAAACATTATCCATCCCATCCTCATATAAAAACAGGTTTATGTTTAAAAAACAGGCCAGTGTGTAAAAACAGGCGCAACAGCAAAAAATGAAAAGAACAAAGCAGTAGTAAATTTTTTTTAACAATCGCCGTCTTTTTAAAATATTGTTTTGTCGTTTGTCCCGTTGGAATAAAAATTGTGAGAATAGACCCAGGTTTGAATAACAAACGAAAACAGTAACATCAAAATTGGAATAAGCTTCTGAAAAAACCTGGATAGTTTTGATCAAGTTGTTTTGTTTCTCTGTGTGCTCGTGTATGCTTTTGTGTTTGTTTCGTTGTATGTTTTATGTGGCTTTGGAAGCCTGTTTATGTTTCAGTGTGTGTATGTTTATGTATCTGAGTATATTTATGCGTCTGTATGTGAGTATATTTGTGTGTCTGTGTAATTGCATATTTATTTAGTTTTCTGTGTGAATGCTTATGCGTCTGAGTGTTTGTGTATGTGTTTTGTGAGTGCATATGTATGTGTCAATGTTTACATATGTATGTATCTTTGAATGTATGTTTATGTGTCTTGTTAGGGTCCATGTTTATACTTTTCTTTTGTTTGTGATTAAACTTCCCATTCTATTTTTAACTCGCACGTGCTATACCTTTTTATTTAAAGAGTGCACTTTTAAAAAACAAAAACGGGTGTTTCCGATTGTGAATCTTACTTTTGTTAATTACGTTTGTCAAAATTTGGCATTCAGCCTAGTTGGGCATGCCGATCAATTTGCTGGTTTTAAAAAACATGAAAATATTTTTAAAATTAGATCCTTGAAATTATTAATTTTATTTTGGAAACTTGTCAAGGAATAAAGCGAGAGTGATCTCCCCTAAATAAAAAAGCGATCTTGTTTAGACGTGTGAGTTGTTTTAGCTCAAAAACGTTTTAGTTTTTTTTTAGGACAAGAGCTGTAGGACGTTGTTCTAGGCACACACGTCACACTCACACGTGATGTTTGACGTCAACCTTAGTACTCACCTTACAGGGGCCTTCGGGGTATTTAAGAAAATCTTGAGGAACGTCTATATTCAATATGTAACTAACTTGATTCTCCACATCGTAGGGAAGCCTTTTTGTAAAATGTATATAAGTATCATCCGCATTTAAGGGACGCCTCTTGTTAACTAACAAGATCTCTTTGTGAGTAACGCTTATGGTTAACTAACATGTTCCCCTTGACGCCTATGGTTAACTAGAAAGTTCACCCATGTGTGTGACACCTCTGTGGAACAAGATATATTTATTATATTTATTTATTTATATATTTATTATATTTATTAGTGACGCCTCTGGTTTACTAGCAAGTTCCTCTTGTGAGTGACGCCTCTGGGTAACAAGTTCCTATTATAAGTTACGCCTATGGTTAACAAGTTCCCCTTATGAGTGACGCCTATGGTTAACAAACAAGTTCCCCTTCTGAGTGACGCCTATGGATAACAACAAGTTCCCCTTATGAGTGACGCCTATGGATAACAACAAGTTCCCCTTATGAGTGACGCCTATGGATAACAACAAGTTCCCCTTATGAGTGACGCCTATGGTTAACAAACAAGTTCCCCTTATGAGTGACGCCTATGGTTAACAAACAAGTTCCCCTTATGAGTGACGCCTATGGATAACAACAAGTTCCCCTTATGAGTGACGCTTCTGGTTAACAAACAAGTTCCCCCACGCTCCTAGGTCACTAGCAAAAACAATCACCTACAAAATAGCAATGGAAAACCCCAAAAAACTAGGTGAAGAATTGACCACAAAATCCAATAGTAATCGCAAGCATCAAGTAAGGAACGTATTTTCCAAATCCCCTTTGTAGCTCTTAAATCAAGCAGAGACTCTCAGTGCCTTTTCAGGGTGTACAAGGGAGAGAATTATTAAAATGTCATTGACATCCGTGGATTATATTCTCTCCCTTCTGATTAAATCAAAACCGGATTAAGTCTCCCTTCGGTTTGTGTAATCAAGAAAGCTAAGTAATAAATTGTGAATAATAATAAGTAAAACAAAATAGGGGACAGGGGACGTCATTTTAATTGCAAATATTGGTAACCTCCCTTGTATATTTATAGCACATCTTATTTAAGGATAAATTAACAGGCAATAGCAGCCATATTTTTTTTTTCTTTTTTTTTTCATTTTACCAAACGAGAGAGTTGTTGATGCGTTACCACACACACATTCCTAGATATTTTCATGATTCGGTAATCAATAAATAATTTCTTATTCACTACACAACATAATTATTTTCAATGAAAGGTAGATAACTTTTGTTTTATAAATAACATATAAATTGTCTCCCATTTTAAACACCAAAATAAAAAAATAAGTTTCTTTTTCTGTGTCTTAAATTATTACGTTAGAACGTTGTTTTTTTAATTGTGTAATTTTCTCCAAATAGACTTGCTAATACAACAAAGGTTAAAGGTCCCTGGGTTGATGGGTACCTAACTTGGGCTTGGTGAGTACCATACACAACAATGGACTATTCTAGCAACTTTCTACACAAATGGAATATTCTAGGAACTGAACAACAATGAACTATTCTAGTATCGATACACAAAAATTAAAAATGGTCTATACTAGTACCAAACGGACTATATTAGCAACTATATACTACAGTGAACTATTCTGGTATCGATACACAACAATGGACTATTCTGGTCGATACACAAAAAGTACCATTCTAGTGCCATTCTAGCAATTACACTACAATGAACTATTCTAGCATCGTTTGAATGAAACAGGAAGAAATACAAACAAGAAGTCTGTTCCTTCGAAAACATTCTCATAATATGAGAGGGTGGAAATAGCAGTATTAAATATATCGTGTGATAATGCTATTTATATCCCACGCCGGAAGGATGTTTGAAGTGAAAGCACGAAACGACGCTAAACCTGGACAACGGCTTCTTAAAAATGGCCAGTCGTGCGTCGAAAAACTGGGCTGTCCCCCTCAATCGGAAAATGATTTGATAAAAAAAAATTGTGTAATGTGTTTAAAAAACGAAGACGAATTTATCTAAAGTGAAGTTTAGCTTAAAGAAATGATCTGGAAACCGTTCAAGTATAAAAAATTTAAAAGCCGGGATCCATGCTTCAATAAAAAGAGTGGGTTTTTTTTCTGTTTTTAGAAAGGGAGGGGGGAATTCTATTTCTTTTTTATTTGTTAAATTTGGACGATTTGGTGGGGAGTAACCACTTTTCATGGACATCCCACCCTTTCCCCCCCCCCCCCAGATGAATTAATTCGCATGATAATTTACAAAATTTGGCGGGGGCCAGGTTCCAGTTGCTCCTAGCTTTTTTTTAATATACGAGTGCGTGCTTGCTTGCGCATGTGAGTGTATGTGTATGTGTATTTTGAAGTAGGGATGGGAATTAAACCACCCACAACATAAATAACAAAATTTTGGGGAAAAGGCTATTTTTAACTGTGTATCTATAAATCTACATTTGGCAGCATTTCTATCCGGAACTGTCTTATTTAGTGCCGTTGATATTAACATTATAGGTAGAAAGTCAGTATAAATTCTATATTCAGATTTAACTTTAATGTTTTATAAATGTTTAGGCTGTATTTCTATCAGCGGTGAATCCAATGAAGATGAGAAAGTGGTGGTTATAGCCAATGTGTTTTCCTAATGTAGTTTTTGTTTACTGCTTACTGCGTCAATAACTTTTTTGTGGTTTATATAATTTCAGAGGCCGATTGGATGAGCAGTTGGAGGCTAGCCCGAAGGTCTTGCGTTCGGATCTCGGTTCGGACTTGCGACTTAATGACGACACTGAGTTCATCCAGCCCTGATGGGTACCTGACCTTCGTTGGGGAAAGTAAACGCAGCTGGGCATAGTGCTGGCTACTACAATGTCAAATTCTACTTCATCTACCCAATGGATCGGTGGATCTATAGAGGAATCTTTACTTTACTTTACATAATTTAGGTATTTTTTTTACCCTGCCTATAGCTTCCAGTAACTATTCATTTTTTCAAACTGGCGGCCCAATGGGGCAACTGAAGTAGTGTTCACCCGTTTCTATGACCTCGGCATTTGAAATGATAGTATGGTCAATACAATGGCTAGCTACCTTTACTTCCCCCCCCCCCTTAAATAAGATACCCAAGTTTTTAGCAAGCTTACACAATTGTAGGTAATTGTTGCCCTATCAGTAGTTTTAAGTGGGTAACTGCACCTTGTATCAACACGTTTGTTAATGAACCTAAATAAAAATTATGAACGCAAAGATGTCTATTTTTAGAAAAGTAGGATTTTTTCGTTTCTTGCTAGGCCTAGTGTGCAAACCGCACCAAACTACTGACGTCACATCCGCTTGATTTTGCACTACAACTGTGTTTTGAATTTTACTATTTGGTTTTAAAATATCTTCGCAAGATCTAGATTTCTTCTAGATCTATCTTATTTGTGAGATAAGGTTGTGTCTTCCTTGAGCGAAAAGATATAAATTTCATGTAATACAAAATGCCGGCGTGAATGTAGCCTATATTTGTTAGATTGGTGAATAATTAACTACATTTATTTCTAGATCTACAGTTTACAAATAGTTTACATTTTGCATTGTTTAATCTTTATTATTAGTAGGATTTTGACTAGAATCTAGATCTAGATCTAAATCTATTACGTTAAAATTAATTTATTATATTATACAAAAAAAAGTATTGTGCAACTATTAAAAAAATAGATTCTATGCCGCGAAAGAAGCTTAATGTTATAAAAACGTTATTTAAAGTTCTTTTAATATCAATGGGGTGTGTTAATTAATTCAGTTTATTGATAAATTATAGTTTCTAAGTGTATTATAGTCGAACCTTTCTGTTCTGATACTATAACTGAATGCAGTAATTACACAAGATCACTATAACAAATAGACTAGGTTTTGGTAAAGTAAAAACCCCGATATAGCGTCTATAGGACATACAGTCGTCTATCCCATTCCGGAATAAATACCAGTGCTATATTCTATCCTGGTTTCATCCAGTGGCGTCGCTAGGTCGGGTGTCACCCGGTGCGGTCCGCACCCCCCGCACCCACCTCGCGACGCCTCTGGTTTCATCTATATTTAACGTTAGGCCCATCCAATGCTGAGCTAAGGGTTTGCCTTGCTCCAAAGTCGAATGAAACTTTTTTTTCAGTCCCGCCATGTTCTGAGAGGTTCATTCATAGTGTGGTGATGAGGTACCTCAGATGTGTGACATCCTGGGTCCTTCTTCATATCGCTGCGGTCATTGGCTATTCTGATCTTAGAAGTAAGTTGGTGTGTTTTGGCGGGCATTATATGGAGGTGTTGGGGGGTTGCTTAGGGGTTGGGGGTTGTGGCGCGACCCGGTTTTACATACAAAGGTGTTATATTATTAATGAAAAATGCATTTATTTACATCGTGAAGTTCCATTTTCGAATCTGACTTTAACGGTCTATAAGCCAAGTAAAGTAGAGTTCACCGGTTTTTGTGGCCTACACATATGAAGGGATAGTGTGGTCAGCTTTGTGCCTAACTAGTGTTAGGAAAAGTAAAGGCGGCTGGGCAAATTGCTGACCATACCTTTCCCTTAATATGCCGAGGTCAAGAAACATAAGCTTTACTTAATCTGCCAAATAGATCGTTAGGTCTTAAGATAATTATTTACTGGAACTGTCTTTAACTATAAACATATCCATTAAAATAAACCGGGAGTGATCTCCCCTAAACTTTCTCGAATATTTTTATATAACACTACGGGGATGGCAACTCAGGACAATATTTTTAATCCATTTTTAATTACTTAAACTTTTTAAAATAGAATAAAGCATAAAAATTACACATTTGTAAATGTTATTTTTATATGCCTAAATTTTACCCTATAATGTTACTAAGTATTTAGAGGAGGGAGGAAGGGTGGCCTAACCCACTTAAACCCACCACACCCTAACAACACCTTGGTTCAAATAAGTAGCCATTTTATGGGAGCTGGTAGAAGGGTGTTACGTCATTTGGGAGATCCTTGTAAAGTACGGGACGGGGTGGGTGGGGGGGGGGTGAGTGGAGACTGAGATGTTTGGACGTCATACCTTAAACACGCTTTCACAATTTTTAAAATAAACTCTGCTCGCAGACGACAAGTGCGTGGCTCCCTCCATGGCTGTGAACCTGCCACCGTCAAGGACTGTGTGGTCTGGGCGTGTAGACATCACCATGGAGTGTGACCAAGGTTACGACCTCGCACTTAACTCCCCGCCCGGGGCGAGGTTCATGTGTTTCCCCAACGGCAGCGACTGGATACCCGACTACATACCGGACTGTAACAGTAAGAGAGGGGGGGGTCAATGTCAGTCAGCTGTCCCCTAATGGTCAGTTGTTGTCTGTCTTTCTTCTTCTTCTTCGTTCTTAATTTTAGTGTTGGAAGGGATCCCCTCCAACACAATTAAGTATATTGGTTATGCGCCATTTAGGCCATTGACTCCGATTTCAGCCTGCTTTTCTTTTTGGGTTTGCTTCCAAACAAGAACAAACTACAAGGCAGCCGCAGCAGTTGTTTGATTTTGGAGTTGTCTCTCCTAAAAGAGTTGCTGCCCCCAGCTAACGAGCCTCAACTGCCCGACGGTTCGAACTCGAGACTTTTCGGTTTAGCTACCATGAGCTTTACCAACTCGTCTAAGCCGACCCCTATATATATGTCTGTCTGACTTGTCAGTTGTCTGACTAAAAAATTCTATCATTTCTATTTATACTCTTCGATTATGCATAGGATTATGCATAGGCCTACCTACATATTTTTGCGACTTCAATAATACCATAACCTTCACCGTGTCCCTTAGACTACAAATCCACAACGTTTCACCAGTACCTATGAATGATTGATTAATTAAAGCCCAAATTTGTGGATAAATATACCGGATAAGTGTGGATAAAGTGTGGATACATCTGGCCGAGAGAGTGAGAACAGAACATAGAGTGAGTTTGGCTAACAGATCCGAACTCTCTCACAACATGGTGATTTTTCCACAGCGAAAGCATTTCCTCACAAAATTATCCTGGTGACCACAATCATTTTGGGTAAAAACTGCCCCACTATCCCGGACATCTCTATGCATAACTCTGAGAATTTGAAGGTTGGACCTGACAAAATAATTGACATTAGCAAGTAAGTGAGCGATCTTACATTATATATATATATATATATATATATATATATATATATATATATATATATATATATATATATATATATATATATATATATATATATATATATATATATATATAAGGTAAAGACAATCATTTTGCTGTATCGTGTTTTATGGTATATTGTGGTCTGTGTATCTTATTTAAGGACTGAATCGATTTTCTTCTTTATCTTTTTTGTTATTAAGAGAGCAACAGTCCCCACCATCTGTTAAACACATAGCCTTGATTAACCACCGTTACTTGTGCGCTGATGACAGTTTTCATTATTTTAATACTGTATCTAAAAGTAACCTAAACTATCTTTTTACTTTCTCGTATATACGTAGTATAGAGAAAGTATTGTAATCGTGCAAAAAAAAAAAATCGAGATTTTTACAAATCTCGACGTTTTACACCTCACTGATACGGAAAAACATAATTTTGCAATCTTGTCCGTATGTCTGTGTGTGTGTGTGTCTGTCTGTCTGTCTGTCTGTCCGTGTGTAAACACGATAACTTGAGTACCGTTACAGCTAGGTTGATGAAATTTCATATATAAGTATTTTATCAAAATCGTAGATCCGTATCAACTTTTGAGCGATTTCCGATAACCGGAAGTGGTACTTTTCCTACTTTGAATTTTTCAAAAGCCTATAACTTGAGTACTATTTCAGATAGATAAATGAAATTTCACATGTAAGTAAAAGATCTTATTCTCTACCTTCTGTTAAATTTTGAGTAATTTCCGTTGACTGGAAGTAGTAATTTACGCTACTTCCGATTTCTCAAAAAACTAATGTAAATTTTTAAAGTACTAATAATATTGCGCACTATTATACGCGTTTTTATTCGGCGTTTGCTTGGTGCGCAATGTTTTTTTTATGAGATTCTATTCTATTTTTAAAAGTTTAAGTATTTAAAATGGATTAAAAATCATAACTATATCCCCAGTTACCATCCCCTGTTGTTTTATATAAGAATATTCGAGAAAGTTTAGGGGAGATCACTACCGGTTTATTTAATTGTTGTTTAGCCATTACATTATATTTGTCTACTCTAACCGTGACACCATTTTCCCTTAATTATAACATTTGTATTTGAAGTCCAAACTTTTAAGGATTATATAGATATAATCAACATTATGGAATATTCGCATAAGTTTATATAAGCCTTGTATTTTGTGCACATTATTTTCAAGAAATTTACACAATTATCTATTAAATTTCGCGAAATAAATAAAATTTTATGATCTATACTCACATATATATTTACTTTTGTATACATATTTTTCATGATCTAGACTTTCCAATTATTTACCTACTTATCCACTTAATTTCAAGATCTTTGCTCAACCATATCCTTTACCTAATCATAACTCGCCAACTATTTACTTCTTATACACCTACTTCAATGATCTTGACTCAGCCAGTTGACCAGATTCTCAAACTTTTTTGTCAGGATCTGTGGCCTGAGCAAGAATTTTGTCACATGTGATATCCATAGTGTATCTAAAGAGTGTGGCAAGGCGCCCAACAAGCCAGAGAATTATGTAAGTTGTGGGCTTCAAAATACGGATGGATGGAGGAAAGATATTAAAACTGAAACATATGAAAGCTTTAAAGTGGGGTGGGGTAGAAATATTAAATCACAGGAAATTATTAAAATGACTGTCTATAAGATGAATATAAAATCGATATAATAGTTATAAGTAAACAGCATAATAATTTTGAAACAAAACTAATAAAAGCCTTAGTCGTTTAGTTTCATTTTTGTACCCCTGCGCAATAGAGGTACATAGACGACGATCCATCTACTGGTTCGAGGGAATGATTTATCAATTTTGCACCTTACCCCCCCCCCCCCCCCCCTCCCCAACACAAACAAAATAATATTAATTTTCTCAAGGTGACGAAATCTGAAGGTTTTTAAATTTACCCAAATTTACCCTTTGTAAATACTGCATTAGTTGACCAAAAATCATGTTAGAAATACGATTACATTTCATATTTTTGTAATGTGTCAAGTATCCGTCTCCCCTACTCCCCCTACTCCCCCCCCCCTCCAGATTCGCATACAGATCATCGACTCCTTCACAAAAGACCTGACCTGGACTCAATACAAGTCTGATGCAGAAGAACTGAGCAAGCATCTTGTTGACCAGCTTTCTGAGGTCACCGGAAGTTCAGAGTTCAACACGGCTTTAACCGCAAGTTGTAAAGCCGGCTCGCTTGCTGTGCTTGCTGCCGGGAAGGAGATCGTCTGCCGTAAGATTGTTAAATGTATACTATATTTACTGTAGGGGGTATCGAAGTTGGTACTTTTTTAAATGACGGTAGGAAATATCAAAGTAGGTACTTTTTTAAAAGACGGTAGCAAGTATCGAAGTTGGCACTGTTTAAAATAACGGTAGGAAGTATCGAAGTTGGTACTTTTTAAAATGACGGTAGGAAGTATCGAAGTTGGTACTTTTTAAAATGACGGTAGGAAGTATCGAAGTTGGTACTTTTTAAAATGACGGTAGGAAGTATCGAAGTTAGTACGTTTTAAAATAACGGTAGGAAGTATCGAAGTTAGTACTTTTTAAAATGACGGTAGGAAGTATCGAAGTTGGTACTTTTTAAAATGACGTTAGAACTTTCTTGAGTCGATCCAGCTCTGTTGGGTACCTAATTCCGTTTAGGGATAGTAAAGGCGTCTGGGCAAAGTGCGGACTACAACTTCTCTTCATATGCCGAGGTCAAGAAATATATGAACTCTACTTCATCCGTCGAATGGATCGCTAGGTCCAATGAGGATTCTTTACTTATTGAGAAATGAAAGACAATACTTTTTTAATGGACTCTTTAAGATATCGAAGAAATTTTTTAAAATGAATGTATGAGGTTTCGAAGCTAGCTATGTTTTTTACAGTTATCCCAAAATGAACCTTAACCTTATATTTAGACTCTACCTCTGCTTAGATAGTCTTGGCCGTGCCGGTGATGTGCGTAGCAAGCCTATGAAATATTTACAGTTTAAATAGGAACCCACCCTTCCAGAGTTTCTTCCAGGCATCTCTTCGAGGATGAAAAACGTCTACAACACCCCCCCCCCCCCCCTCCCCACCCTGAACGAATAGAATATATATATAAATATTTACTTTTAGCAGTGTCCTCTTCCCCCCCCCCCCCCCCGAAATGTTCAAGTGCCCCCTCCCTCGGTGAAAAATGTCTGGAAGAAACATTGCTGCCTTCACTTCTCCCCATACTCCCTGTTGGTTATTTAGCACGGGGAGGCAACACTTTTAACAACGTAACCTTTCGTACCTCAGAGGGCTGTTCCCTGGGCCACTACCTTGTACCCGAGCAGAAGAAATGCCTGCCGTGTAAGCCCGGCTACTACGCCGACACCCCCCTGCGAACCAACTGCACCCTCTGCCCGGGCCTGGTGGGCGTGAAAGATGACGTCATCTGGGCCAACGTCAGCCGGATGCCGGACCGAGGCTACAGCCTGACCCTGTGCCCGTATGTGAAGAACGTCCACGGTCAGGCCACCGTCATCAACCCCATGGAGCAGCCGGAGGCCAAACTACAACTCTCCTCCTCCCAGGATAATAATCAAGGTACAGCGGCGGGGTACTTTGGATGGCTGAGTTAGCGTTAGGGCTGAGGTTAATGTTAGGGTTAGGGCTAAGGTTAATGTTAGAGTTAGAGTTAGAGTTAGAGTTAGAGTTAGGGTTAGGGTTAGGGTTAGGGTTAGGGTTAGGATTAGGATTAGGTTTAGGTTTAGGTTTAGGTTTAGGTTTAGGTTTAGGTTTAGGTTTAGGTTTAGGTTTAGGTTTAGGTTTAGGTTTAGGTTTAGGTTTAGGTTTAGGTTTAGGTTTAGGTTTAGGTTTAGGTTTAGGTTTAGGTTTAGGTTTAGGTTTAGGTTTAGGTTTAGGTTTAGGTTTAGGTTTAGGTTTAGGTTTAGGTGTAGGTGTAGGTTTAGGTTTAGGTTTAGGTTTAGGTTTAGGTTTAGGTTTAGGTTTAGGTTTAGGTTTAGGTTTAGGTTTAGGTTTAGGTTTAGGTTTAGGTTTAGGTTTAGGTTAAAGTTAAATTTAAGGTTATAGTTAAGGTTAAGGTTAAGAATGGGGTTAGTGGTTGGTGTTAAGATTGTTAGGATTAGGATTAGATCTAGCGTTGAGGCTATGGCTAGGATTAGGGTTATGGTTAGGGTTAGGGTTAGGTTTAGGTTTAGGTTTAGGTTTAGGTTTAGGTTTAGGTTTAGGTTTAGGTTTAGGCTTAGGTTTAGGTTTAGGTTTAGGTTTAGGTTTAGGTTTAGGTTTAGGTTTAGGTTTAGGTTTAGGTTTAGGTTTAGGTTTAGGTTTAGGTTTAGGTTTAGGTTTAGGTTTAGGTTTAGGTTTAGGTTTAGGTTTAGGTTTAGGTTTAGGTTTAGGTTTAGGTTTAGGTTTAGGTTTAGGTTTAGGTTTAGGTTTAGGTTTAGGTTTAGGTTTAGGTTTAGGTTGTTTAGGTTGTTTAGGTTGTTTAGGTTGTTTAGGTTTAGGTTTAGGTTTAGGTTTAGGTTTAGGTTTAGGTTTAGGTTTAGGTTTAGGTTTAGGTTTAGGTTTAGGTTTAGGTTTAGGTTTAGGTTTAGGTTTAGGTTTAGGTTTAGGTTTAGGTTTAGGTTTAGGTTTAGGTTTAGGTTTAGGTTTAGGTTTAGGTTTAGGTTTAGGTTTAGGTTTAGGTTTAGGTTTAGGTTTAGGTTTAGGTTTAGGTTTAGGTTTAGGTTTAGGTTTAGGTTTAGGTTTAGGTTTAGGTTTAGGTTTAGGTTTAGGTTTAGGTTTAGGTTTAGGTTTAGGTTTAGGTTTAGGTTTAGGTTTAGGTTTAGGTTTAGGTTTAGGTTGTTTAGGTTGTTTAGGTTGTTTAGGTTGTTTAGGTTGTTTAGGTTGTTTAGGTTTAGGTTTAGGTTTAGGTTTAGGTTTAGGTTTAGGTTTAGGTTTAGGTTTAGGTTTAGGTTTAGGTTTAGGTTTAGGTTTAGGTTTAGGTTTAGGTTTAGGTTTAGGTTTAGGTTTAGGTTTAGGTTTAGGTTTAGGTTGTTTAGGTTGTTTAGGTTGTTTAGGTTGTTTAGGTTTAGGTTTAGGTTTAGGTTTAGGTTTAGGTTTAGGTTTAGGTTTAGGTTTAGGTTTAGGTTTAGGTTTAGGTTTAGGTTTAGGTTTAGGTTTAGGTTTAGGTTTAGGTTTAGGTTTAGGTTTAGGTTTAGGTTTAGGTTTAGGTTTAGGTTTAGGTTTAGGTTTAGGTTTAGGTTTAGGTTTAGGTTTAGGTTTAGGTTTAGGTTTAGGTTTAGGTTTAGGTTTAGGTTTAGGTTTAGGTTTAGGTTTAGGTTTAGGTTTAGGTTTAGGTTTAGGTTTAGGTTTAGGTTTAGGTTTAGGTTTAGGTTTAGGTTTAGGTTTAGGTTTAGGTTTAGGTTTAGGTTTAGGTTTAGGTTTAGGTTTAGGTTTAGGTTTAGGTTTAGGTTTAGGTTTAGGTTTAGGTTTAGGTTTAGGTTTAGGTTTAGGTTTAGGTTTAGGTTTAGGTTTAGGTTTAGGTTTAGGTTTAGGTTTAGGTTTAGGTTCAGGTTTAGGTTTAGGTTTAGGTTTAGGTTTAGGTTAAAGTTAAAGTTAAATTTAAGGTTATAGTTAAGGTTAAGGTTAAAGATGGGGTTAGTGGTTGGTGTTAAGATTGTTAGGATTAGGATTAGATCTAGCGTTAAGGCTATGGCTAGGATTAGGGTTAGGGTTAGGGTTAGGGTTAGGGTTAGGGTTAGGGTTAGGGTTAGGGTTAGGGTTAGGGTTAGGGTTAGGGTTAGGGTTAGGGTTAGGGTTAGGGTTAGGGTTAGGGTTAGGGTTAGGGTTAGGGTTAGGGTTAGGGTTAGGGTTAGGGTTAGGGTTAGGGCTATGGCTAGGGTTAGGATTAGAGTTAGGGTTAGGCTGAAACCAATTTCTATTGTTGGTTATTGTTTTGTGTTTAGTTTTAGGCTGAGGTGGATGCTAAGTTTAGGTCCTTTTCTTAAGGTTAGGATTAAGGTAATATATATATTGGTATAGAATTCTAATTAAGGTTAGGATTCTAACTTGAAGGAGGGGTGGGGGTCATTGACAGGGGGGGTCATTGCTCCGGGGGGTAAATACGGGGGGGGTAATGTCCTGTTGCCTTTAGTAACACCAGCTAGCCATTGCGTCACATTTCAGAATAGCCCAGACCAAACTACACAATATCAAGAAGGCGGAGGCCATGAAGTCCCTACCCCCAAGCCCAGTAGAGGCGTGCTACCTGTCATCAGACTCCACTGACTCCAAGGACAGAACGTCCATAGATGACCAGAGGAGTCAGGCAATCCAAGCCATCACGCTGGGGATGGAAGCTGGGGAAACTTTTACAATCAATCACATAGTCGACTAGTCTAGATCAATCAATAAACAAATGGAGATTCTTCCTTTCGTTTAATATTGTGACTTTTCCTGTGCATTCCTTAGCATGTATTTTAGATGTGTTGTATTCCACAGTACCCAGTTTTATTGTGAGTTAGAGAAGTCTCAAAATTTACCTCTTGAAGAACTGTCACAAAAAAAAGTATATTAATACGGTGGTTTAGCTTAACCTGACATATTCTAACCTTAAAATTTGATTTTTCTCTAGGACTATATTTACATTTGACAAAATAAAACCATTTTTTTTTCTTTTACATAACGAGAGACTTATTGAGGGACGTCTATATTTCATGTGTAACTAACCACACACACTGTCCCAGATATTGTCATAATTTGATAACCAACAAATAAGTTGTTATTCACTATACAACAAAATTATTTTAAATGAAAGGTAGATAACTTTTGTTTTACAAATAACATATACATTGCCTCCCTTTTTAAACAACAAAATTAAAAATCCTTTTGTTTTTCTGTGTCCTTAGTTAATACGTAGAACGCTATATTTTTTTTTTGAGTAATTTTCTCCAAATATACTTGCTAATACTACAAGGTTAAAGGTCCCTGGGTTTATGGGTACCTAACATGGGCTTGGTGAGTACCATACACAACAATGGACTGTTCTGGCAACTTTCTACACAAATGGAATATTCTAGGAACTGATACACAAAAATGATTCTAGTACCAAACGGACTATATTGGCAACTACACACTACAATGAATTATTTTGGTCGATACACAATAATGTACCACTCTAGTGCAAAATGTACTATACTAGCAACTACACACTACAGTGATCTATTCTAGCATCAATACACAAAAATGGACTATTCTAGTACCAAACGGTCTATATTGACAACTATATACTACAATAAACTATTCGGGTCGATACACACAGAGACGTAGCTAGGGGGGGGACATATGTCCTCGGGCGCCGACCTTAGGGGGCGCCAAAATGTGTTGAAAAAACAAATCGAAAATTTGAGGGGTGGGGGTGCAAATCGAAAGTATGAGGGTGGTGCAAATCGAAAGTTTGAGGGGGGTGCAAATGGAAAGTTTGTCCCCGGGAAGGGTCGCTACGCCTCTGGATGCACAACAATGGACTATTCTAGTTCCAAATGTCGTATACTAGCAACTACACACTACAATGAACTATTCTGGTCGATACACAAAAATGTACTATTCTAGTACCAAATGTAGTATATTCCCAACTACACACTACAAGGAACTATTATAGCACCGTTTGAATGAAACAGGAAGAAATACGAACAAGAAGTCTTTTCCTTCGAAAATATTCTCACGATATGAGAGGGTGGAAATAGCAGTATTAAATATATCGTGTGATAATGCTATTTATATCCCACGCCGGAAGGATGTTTGAAGTGTAAGCACGAAACGACGCTAAACCTGGACAAATGCTTCTTAAAAATCGCCAGTCGTGCGTCGAAAAACTGGGCTGTCCCCCTCAATCGGAAAATGATTTGATAAAAATTTTTAACATTGTGTAATGTGTTTAAAAAAAACGAAGACAAATTTATCTAAAGTGAAGTTTAGCTTAAAGAAATGATCTGGAAACCGTTCAAGTATAAAAATTTAAAAGCCGTGATCCATGCTTCAATAAAAAGAGTGGGTTTTTTTTAAGGGAGGCGGAGTTCTACTGATTTTTTATTTGTTAAATTTGGACGATGTGGTGGGGAGTAACCACTTTTCATGGACACCCCCCCCCCCCCCCCCGATAAATTAATTCGCATGATAATTTACAAAATTTGGCGGGGGCCAGGTTCCAGTTGCTCCTAGCATTTTTTTTCGCGTATGTGAATGTGTATTTGGAAGTAGGGATGGGAATTAAACCACCCACAACATAACAAAATTTTGGGGAAAAGGCTATTTTTAACTGTGTATCTATAAATCTACATTTGGCAGCATTTCTATCCGGAACTGTCTTATTTAGTGCCGTTGATATAATCATTATGGGTAGAAAGTCAGTATGAATTCTATATTCAGATTTAACTTTAATGTTTTAAAAATGTTTAGGTTGTATTTCTATCAGCGGTGAATCCAATGAAGATGAGAAAAAAGTGTTGTTATAGCCCATTTGTATTGCTACGTAATTTTAGTTGATTGTTTTCTGTGTCAATAACTTTTGGTTGTTCGGATCTAGGTTCGGACATGCGACTGAGGACGTCCTTGAGGTCATTTACTTGCCCCCAACCTACGTTGGGGAAATTATAGGTAGCTGGGCATAGTGCTGACAATACTACCTCTTTCACATGTCGAAGTCAAGAAACAGACTGCTTCATCTGCACAATGGATCGCTAGTTCTAAAGAGGAATCTTTACTTTACATAACTTTAGGACCTAAATGTATTTGTTTACCCCGTCAGTAGCTTTAAATAAAGTTGCCCTTTCGAACCTGGCGGCCCATTGGGACAAATGAAATTGTTTTCTGAGCCCTTGACATATGAAATGATAGTACAGTGGCTAGCTACCTTTACTTCCCCCCTCATGTAAGGTACCCAAGCTTTTAGCAAGCTTACACAATTGTAATAGTTGCCCTATCAGTAGTTTCAAGTGGGTAGCTGCATCTTGTATCAACACGTTTGTTAATGAACCTAAACAAAAATTATGAACGCAAAGATGTCTATTTTTAGAAAAGTAGGATTTTCGTTTCTTGCTAGGCCTAGTGTGCAAACCGCACCAAACTACTGACGTCACATCCGCTTGATTTTGCACTACAACAGCGTTTTGAATTTTACTATTTGGTTTTAAAATATCTTCGTAAGATCTAGATCTAGATTACCTCTATCTTATTTGTGAGATAAGGTTTTGTCTTCCTTGAGCGAAAAGAAATAAATTTCATGTAATACAAAATGCCGGCGTGAATGGTCACTATCGGGAACTTATATTTGTTAGATTGGTGAATAATTAACTACATTTATTTCTAGATCTACAGTTTACAAATGTCAAATAGTTTACATTTTGCATAGTTTAATCTTTATTATTACTGGGATTTTGACTAGATCTAGATCTAGATCTAGATCTAAATCTATTACGTTAAAAATTAATATATTATATTATACAAAAAAAGTGTTGTGCAACTATTACCATAAATAGATACTATGCCGCTAAAGAAGCTTAATATTATAAGAAAAGTTATTTCTAGTTCTTTAAATAATGGGATGTGTTAACTAGTTCATTTTATAGATAAATTATAATTTCTATGTTTATTATAGCCGAACCTTTCTGTTACATAGTAAAATTGAATGTAATAATTAAACAAGATCACGATAACTATTAGTCTACTATTAGATGAACACGTTTTGGTAAAGTAAAAACCCCGATATAGCGTCTATAATTATTCCGGGACGTTTTAACTATAAAAAAAAACAATGAAACAAAGACATACGGTCTTCTACCCCATTCCGGAATAAATAACAGTGCTATATTGCATCATTTTTTTATCCAGTGGCGTCGCTAGGTCGGGTGTCACCCGGTGCGGTCCACACCCCCCGCCCCCACCTCGCGACGCCTCTGGTTTCATCTATATTTAACGTTAGGCCCATCCAATGCTGAGCTAAGGGTTTACCTAGCTCCAAAGTCGAATGAAACTTTTTTTCAGTCCCGCCATGTTCTGAGAGGTTCGTACATAGTGTGGTGATGAGGTACCTCAGATGTGCGACAGCCTGGGTCCTTCTTCATATCGCTGTGGTCATTGGCTATTCTGATCTTAGAAGTAAGTGCGTGTATTTTGGCGGGCATTATATGGAGGTGTTGGGGGTTGCTTAGGGGGGGAGGGGTTGTGGCGCGACCCGGTTTTACATACAAAGGTGTTATATTATTAATGAAAAATTCATTAATTTACATCGTGAAGTTCTATTTTCGAATCTGACTTTAACGGTCTATAAGCCAAGTAAAGTAGAGTTCATCTGTTTCTGTGGCCTCAACATAGGAAGAGATAGTGTGGTCAGCACTATGCTTAACTCGTGTTAGGAAAAGTAAAGGCGGCTGTGCAAATTGCTGACCATACCTTTCCCTTAATATGCCGAGGTCAAGAAACATAAGCTTTACTTAATCTGCCAAATAGATCGTTAGGTCTTAAGAGAATTCTTTACTAGAACTGTCTATAACTATAAACATATCCATTAAGAAAAAAAACATGATATTAAAAATATAAAAATTACACATGTGTAAATGTTATTTTTAAATGCCTGAATTTTACCCCAAAAGATTCCTAAATTTTAAGGGGAGGAAGGGGGGTTTATCCCACCCCACACTAACAACATCTTGGAACGATCTTAAGTTCAAATAAGTGGCCATTTTAAAGGAAGCTGGCAGAAGGGTGTTACGGCATTCGGGATATCTTTAAACAGTACGGGACCGGGTTAAGGAAAGTGGGACATAAATGTTTTGACGTCATACCTTAAACATGCTCTCACAACTTTAAAATCTTCTCGCAGACGACAAGTGCGTGGCTCCTTCCATGGCCGTGAACCTACCAAAGTCAAGGACGGTGTGGTCGGGGCGTGTGGACATCACGATGGAGTGTGACCAAGGTTACGACCTCGCGCTCAACTCCCCGCCCGGGGCGAGGTTCATGTGTTTCCCCAACGGCAGTGATTGGATACCCGACTACATACCGGACTGTAACAGTAAGAGAGGGGGGGGGGGTCAATGTCAGTCAGCTGTCCTAATGGTCAGTTGTTTGACTGTCTGACTGGTCTCACTTGTATGACTACCCGTAACAGTAAGAGAGGGGGGTGGGGGCTGGTCAATGTCAGTCAGCTGTCCTAATGGTCGACTGATGTCTGTTTGACTGGTCAGTTGTTGACCGTTATTGTCTGTGTGACAGGAGTTGTCTAATAAACCTGTTGTCTGTCTAAAGTGACTTGCAGGAAAACAAAATTCTACCATTTCTGTTTATACGCTTTGATTGGGCACAGGCCTACCCAGTGTTTCTTCCAGACTTTTTTTCTCCGGGGGTGCACTTGAAATTTTCGGGGGGGGGGGGCGGTAGACTTTCTTCGGGGGGGGGGGGCGTACACTGTTAAAAGTATATATTTTCTATATAAACTATATAAATTTTATATCGTTCGGGGGGGGCGGTAAAAAATTTTCGGGGGGGGGGGCAAGCCCCCCATGAAGAGATGCCTGGAAGAAACTCTGGGCCTACCCACAAACTTTTGCAACTTACACCATGATAAACATAACTTTACAGAGGCTTAGCGGGGGGGGGGGTATATATGTCCCCGGGCGCCGACCTTAGGGGGCGCCAAAATGGGCAGGAAAAACAAATTACAATGTAATTTTAGTTGCATGTTTGCATTATAAATAGTTTGGGGGGGGTGCAAATCGAAAGTTTGAGGTGTTCTTCTTCTTCTTCTTCGTTCTTAATTTTTAGTGTTGGGAGGGATCGAGCCTTATCTGCCAGAGGGTTTTGAACTCGAGACTTTTTTCGAATTTATCAACCATGAGCTTTGACTCGACCATGCTTCCATCACAATTAAGGATTACGTGTCAACTGGTTACGCGCCATTGTCTCCAGCTAACGAGCCTCATCTGCCCGAGGGTTCGAACTCGAGACTTTTCGGTTTAGCAAATCGAAACTTTGAGGGGGGGGTACAAATCGAAAGTTTGAGAGGGGGGGTGCATATTGAAAAATTGAAAGTTTGTCCCCGGGCGCCAGGAAGAGTCGCTCGGCCTCTGTAACTTTACCGTGTCCCAAAGCCTACAAGAACACAATGTTTCACCAGTGCCTATGGATAATTGATTAGATACCAAATTTGATGGTAAATATACCGGATAAGTGTGGATAAAGTGTGGATTAAATCTGGCCGAGAGAGTGAGAACGGAACATATAGTGAGTTTGGCTAACAGATCCGAACTCTCTCACAACATGGTGATTTTTCCACAGCGAAAGCATTTCCTCACAAAATTATCGTGGTGACCACAATCATTTTGAGTAAAAACTGCCCCACCATCCCGGACATCTCTATGCATAACTCTGAGAATTTGAAGGTTGGACCTGACAAAAAAATTGACATTAGCAAGTAAGTGAGCTATCCTGCATTGTATATATAAGGTTAAGAGTTTTACTTTAAAACTGTATATTAAAGTAACCAAACTTCATTTTTTCAATTGTTGATTATACATCCTAATATATAAATCCCCACGTTCGCACATCTCTCTCTCTCTCTCTTTCTCTGTCCGCAAAAAATTTTCGCCGGACATCACGTCAGAATCGGCAGCGATAAATCGAGAACTTTTTACGGACTTTTGTTGCAAAAAATATGTTAGATGTTTTAAATGTATAACCACAAAATTATTTAAAGAAGAAAAATAAAAAATAAAGGCGTATTCGAATATAGAGAAACAGTATTATTTATGCAACCGGAAAAGCATTAATATATGTGAAAAAGAACGCATAAAACTGTGACGTCACTATTGCTTATACATTAACTAATGACGTCATCTGCCGTGTTTAGAATGAAAAGAAATGAACTATTTCATTCAAATTTGATTTAGATCTACGTACACTATGAAATGTATACAATACAATTTTTCCGGCCTAAACTCATAAAATTTATTTTATGTATTTGGATTCTAGATCTAGAGATTCTAGATCTAGACTAAATCTAAATCTAAATCTACGCAATAACTAGATCTAGACGTAGACGCTAAGATCTAGTTTTAGACTCTAACTTCTCTAAAATCAATTCCAAAAATAAATTTCTATATTAGGACTAAACTATTTCAAGACTTATTTATTTTATACAAAATCTTTGTTATGAACTGGCTAATTTGGGATAAAAAATTAATTTGAAAGAATAGGCATATTCGCGTAAGTTAAGATTTTAAAATACGTCTTTCATTCTCCGTATTTTATAAGGTGCCTAAATAGCGGAGATGTTAGTGTACATTAAACCACGCAGGTGGTGCGGGTTCGAGACACAGCAAGTCAACTTGGTTAATGTATTATTTTTTATTATGCTCGGGCTAAACTTAAAAAAAAAATTCTTTTAGGAATCTAGCTCTAGATCTAGATTGTCGGGTGTCCGATAGGGCACTTCCCGGCGCCGCAGGCGCTTCAAATTTGGCATGATCTTGCCTTGGTGCGACAGAACACGGGGGCCGGTTGGCCGAAAAGTCTACGATGTGGGGGTCAAAACTGACCTCGACTGACCGGTACCTTATATGAGCTATAAATCGAAAAAAAATGTCCACGGAGGAACCTCTTCATAACTCTTGAGGTCGTAGACCGACCTTCGGGCGAATTAATTAAGCATTCAAATTCTCAATGTTTTCGAAAGCCTAAGCGAAGCTGGGCAGCATGCCTAGTAACATTATATTTGTCTACTCTAATGGTGACACTATTTTCCTTCAAACATAACTTTTGTTTTGTAAGTCCCAACTTTTAAGGGTTATATAGGTGTAATCAACGATATGGAATATTCGAATAAGTTGATATAAGCATGTATTTTGTGCACATTATTTTCAAGAAATTACACAGTTATCTATTAGATATCGCTTACTTAAATTTCATGATCTTTACTCACATGTATATTTACTTTTGTATACATATTTTTCATGATCTAGACTTACCAATTATTTACATACTTATCCACTGAATATCAAGATCTTTGCTCACACATATCCTTTACCTAATCATAGCTCGCCAACTATTTACTTCTTATACACCTACTTGAATGATCTCTACTCAACCATATCCTTTACCTAATCATAGCTCGCCAACTATTTACTTCTTATACACCTACTTGAATGATCTCTACTCAACCATATCCTTTACCTAATCATAACTCGCCAACTATCTACTTCTTATACACCTACTTGAATGATCTCTACTCAACCATATCCTTTACCTAATCATAACTCGCCAACTATCTACTTCTTATACACCTACTTCAATGATCTCTACTCAACCATATCCTTTACCTCATCATAACTCGCCTACTATTTACTTCTTATACACCTACTTGAATGATCTTGACTCCGCTGACCAGATTCTCAAACTTTTTTCTCAGGATCTGTGGCAAGAGCAAGAATTTTGTCACGTGTGATATTCACAGTGTCACTAAAGTTTGTGGCAATGCGCCCAACAAGCCAGAGAATTTTGTAAGTTGTTGGGCTTCAAAATACGGATAGATGGGGGAAAGATATTAAATCATATGAAAGCGTTAAAATGGGGGGGGGGGGGGCGTTGGTTATTAAATCACATGAAAGCTTTAAAGTGGGTGGGGGGGGGCTTGGAGAAATTAAATCATATGAAAGCGTTAAAATGGGGTTGGAGATATTAAATCATATAAAACCATTACAATAACTGTCTATAAGATGAGAATAAAAATCGATATATTAGTTACAATTAAACTTATAAGTAAACTGCATAATAATTTTGAAAAAAAAAAGTAATGAAAGTCTTAGTCGTCTAGTTTTATTTTTTGGATCCACGCGCAGAGGCCCGTAGACAACAACCCATCTACAGGGTCGAGGGAACCGGAACGATTTATCTAATTTGCACCTTACCCCCCCCCCCCCCCCCCCCCACTCACCCTCTCCATCACACACAAAATAACATTAATTTACACAAGGTGACGAAATCGGGAGGTTTGGTGGCGCTTTTTTTTTCAGACCATTTCCCTAAAGATTTTTTTTTTGTATCACACATTCGATGTAGATAATAGTTAAGCCGAGTAGCAGCCTGTTTTCTTAAATGTGACTGTTTTCGGTATTGTGGCTCAAACGAACTTTTTTTTTTCCCGGTTTGGTGTCCATTTAAGTTCAGTGACCGGGGCGGCCGTCCCCCCTTCCCTATAGCTACGCCTCTGTCCGTCTGAAGTCTAAGTCAAGGAGGCATATGGCGCATAATATGTTGACATGTAATATTTAATGTGTGGAAATCCCCTTCAACACAACAGTTAAGAACTAAGATGAAAATTAAGTTTACTAAAAATTACCCATCGAATTTTGTTTTTATTTCATGTAAATGCTGCATTCGTTGACCAAAATCATGTAAGAAATACGATTACATTTCATATTTTTGTAATGTGTCAAGTCTCCGTCTTCCCTACTCCCCCTACACCCCCCCCCCCCCTCTAGATTCGCATACAGATCATCGACTCCTTCACAAAAGACCTGACCTGGACCCAATACAAGTCTGATGCAGATGAACTGAGCAGACATCTTGTTGACCAGCTTTCTGAGGTCACCGGAAGTTCAGAGTTCAACACGGCTTTAACCGGAAGTTGTAAAGCCGGCTCGCTTGCCGTGCTTGCTGCCGGGAAGGAGATCGTCTGCCGTAAGATTGTGAAACGCAGTGGCGTAGACAAGGGATATTGGGAGGGGGGGGGGGTTGTAACCCCTACTATTTACTCACATCCCTATATATATATATATATATATATATATATATATATATATATATATATATATATATATATATATATATGATATATTCGAACCCCTCTCATGACCAATTCCTGGATACGCCACTGGTTAAACGTATATATATTTACAGTAGGGGGTATCGATGTTGGTACTTCTTAAAACGGCGGTAGGAAGTATCGAAGTTGGTTCTTTTTTAAATGACGGTAGCAAGTATCGAAGTTGGTACTTTTTTAAATGACGGTAGGAAGTATCGAAGTTGGTACTTTTTTAAATGACGGTAGCAAGTATCGAAGTTGGTACTTTTTTAAATGACGGTAGGAAGTATTGAAGTTGGTACTTTTTAAATGACGGTAGGAAGTATTGAAGTTGGTTCTTTTTTAAAATGACGGTAGGAAGTATTGAAGTTGGTACTTTTTTTAATTGACGGTAGGATGTATTGAAGTTGGTACTTTTTTTAAATGACGGTAGGAATTTTGAAGTTATTTTTTTTTATTATCAGAAAGAGGTATAGAAGTTGGTATTTTTTGTAGAAGGTATTTTGGTTAAAATACATTAAATGACAAAAAAATTATTGAAGTTGGTACTCTTTGAAATGTGGTTAGGAAATATTACATTTGTTCCTTTTTAAATGACGGTAGGAAGTATCGAAGATTTAACTGTTTTAAAATAGTTGTAGAAGATATTGTTTCTGTTGATACTTTTTAAAAATGTACATGTACGAGGTATCGAAGTTTTTATCATTCAAAATGGCTGTAGGAAGTTTAAATGATTGTATGAGGTATAAAATGGGACGGCATGGTCGAAGCGGTAGAGCGTTCCTAACCCAAAAAGTATTGAGTTCGAATCCGGGTCCAAGTCAGTAGAACGTTCTTGAGTCGATCCAGCTCTGTTGGGTACCTAACTCAGGTTAGGGAAAGTAAAGGCGTTTGGGCAAAGTGCTGACCACACTATCTCTTCATATGCCGAGGTCAAGAAATATATGAACTCTACTTCATCTGTCCAATGGATCGCTAGGTCTAATGAGGATTCTTTACTTTTTGAGGAATCAAAGTCAATACTTTTTTGAATTGACTCTTTAAGGTATAGAAGATATTTTTTAAATGACCGTATGAGGTATTAAAGCTAGCTATGTCTTTTACAGGTATCGCAAAATGAACCTTATATTAAGCCTCTACCTCTGCTTAGATAATCATGGCCATGCCGGTGGTGTGCGTGGCAAACCTACAACTTTCTCCAGTGTTTCTTCCAGACTTTTTTCTCCGGGGGGGGGGGGGGGCACTTGAAATTTTCGGGGGGGCGGTAGACTTTCTTCGGGGAGGCGGACACTGTTAAAAGTATATACTTTCTATATAAATTATATAAATTTCATTTTGTTCGGAGGGGCGGTAAAAAAAATTTCGGGGGGGGGGGGGGGGGGCTTCCACACCCCCCCCCCCTCCCCCGAAGATATGCCTGGAAGAAACTCTGACTTTCTCCTTACAAAAAGCAACTCAGAACAAATGAAATATTTATAGTTTAACTAGGAACCTTCCCCCCCCCCCTTCCGAAATTTTCAAGTGCCCCCTCCCCTAGGAGAAAAATGTCTGGAAGAAACATTGCTGCCTTCACTTCTCCCTATAGCCCCTGTTGGTTATTTAGCACGGGGAGGCAACACTTTTAACAACGTAACCTTTGGTACCTCAGGGGGCTGTTCACTGGGCCACTACCTTGTACCCGAGCAGAAGAAATGCCTGCCGTGTAAGCCCGGCTACTACGCCGACGCCCCCCTGCGGACCAACTGCACCCTCTGCCCGGGGCTGGTGGGCGTGAAAGATGACGTCATCTGGGCCAACGTCAGCCGGATGCCGGATCGAGGCTACAGCTTGACCCAGTGCCCGTATGTGAAGAAAGAGCACGGTCAGGCCACCGTCATCAACCCCATGGAGCAGCCGGAGGCCAAACTACAACTCTCCTCCTCCCAGGATAATAATCACGGTACTTTAGATGGCTGAGTTAGCGTTAGCGTTAGGGTTAGCGTTAGCGTTAGGGCTAAGGTTAGGGTTAGACTTAGAGTTAGAGTTAGAGTTAGAGTTAGAGTTAGAGTTAGAGTTAGAGTTAGAGTTAGAGTTAGAGTTAGAGTTAGAGTTAGAGTTAGAGTTAGAGTTAGAGTTAGGGTTAGGGTTAAGGTTAAGGTTAACGTTAACGTTAGAGTTAGGATTAGGAGTAGGTTAATGTTAAGCTTCGGTAGGAGTTCGTGTTAGGATTGTTAGGATTAGGGTTAGTGTTAAGCTTGGGTAGGGGTTCATGTTAGGATTATTAGGATTAGGGTTATTCAAAATGGAACGGTTTTTGTTTTTGTTCTATAGCGTGTGGTGTTAAAATCCGATCTAGAATTCTGTGCTTTATTTTAAAATAAGCTAAGATATATATATATATATATATATATATATATATATATATATATATATATATATATATATATATATATATATATATATATATATATATATGAGTGTGTGTGTGTGGCGGGGGTTAAGCCTTCAGGTCTCTTCTACGATCACCCTCAATGCTACGCAAAGTTATTAGAAAATAAATACACTAATAATTTCCAAAATACAATGCTGATCTACATGTTCTACCAAATTGGTTTAACCGAGCTAAGTGGAGGGCTGAAATCTCCCATCCGTAATCTCCACACTTTCCAGACAGCCGTATTAAAATACTCTTTCTAGATAATCGGATGGAAACACACGTTCTGGTCAAAAGAAAATACACTTTCTACTGTTGTCCACTCTCACAACAGTTCTACCCTTTCTGCTGACAGCGACCGACGCCCGAAAAAATCTCCCCCCCCCTCCCTTAAAGAGGGAGGGGGGGGGAGATTTTTCACTGACGGAAAAAGTCTATCCCCTCCTTCTTTAAATTCACCGAAGGAAGAAATCTATCCCTTCCATCTTTAAATTCACTGACTTATAAAATCTACCCCATCCCTCTTTAAACTGACTGACGGAAAAAACCTACCCCCCATCCCTCTTTAAACTGACTGTCGGAAAAAACCTACCCCCCTCCCTCTTTAAACTGACTGACGGAAAAAACCTACCCCCCTCTCCCTCTTTAAACTGACTGACGGAAAAAACCCACCCCCCCCTCCCTCTTTAAACTGACTGACGGAAAAAACTTCCCCCCCCCCTCCCTCTTTGAACTGACTGACGAAAAAAACTACCCCCCTCCCTCTTTAAACTGACTGACGAAAAAAACTACCCCCCTCCCTCTTTAAACTGACTGACGGAAAAAACCTACCCCCCCTCCCTCTTTACACTGACTGACGGAAAAAACCTACCCCCCCCCCCCTCCCTCTTTAAACTGACTGACCTTTAGTTACTTCCACAGGCAGCAGGGCCGAGAATTGGAGCATAATCCTGGCAGTCGTCGGCTGCACAACGCTGTTCCTGTTGGTCACGTACACCCTTAGCGCGTAGGTAATGAAATCCCTATCTCATATAGATCTAGACTTAGTGTGTAGGTAATGAAATCAGCTGTGATGATAGTGTACTTAATAGGCCTACCACGCAGGTGGTGCGGGATCGAGACACACCGAGTCAAACTTAATTTTTTTTTAAATATGTGAATCTTCCAATTTTAGACTATAAAGAAAGGAACTACTTCATTCAAATTTGATCTAGATCTATAGATCTACTCATCAAGACGTACGGATTTTTAGCTAATTAGTTATTTCGTTGCTTTGACACTAATATCGTTCAGCGTGTAGTAAAGCACATTTCGTTTTGACCAATAACTATTTCATAAATTATTTTTCTCAAACAAGTACAACATTTTAAAATATATAGGCCTATAATTCACGTGAAACGGGTACCAATGGCAAGTCTTATATAGTCTTAGTGTGTAGGTAATAAAATCAGTTGATTCTGTATCCCTACCTTATATAGTCTTAGTTTATAGGTAATGAAATCAGTTGTTTCCGTATCCCTACCTTATATAGTCTTAGTGTATGTAATGAAATCAGTTGTTTCCGTATCCCTACCTTATATAGTCTTAGTGTATGTAATGAAATCAGTTGTTTCCGTATCCCTACCTTATATAGTCTTAGTGTATGTAATGAAATCAGTTGTTTCCGTATCACTACCTTATATAGTCTTAGTGTGTAGGTAATAAAATCAGTTGTTTCCGTATCCCTACCTTATATAGTCTTAGTGTGTAGGTAATAAAATCAGTTGTTTCCGTATCCCTACCTTATATAGTCTTAGTTTGTAGGTAATGAAATCAGTTGTTTCCGTATCCCTACCTTATATAGTCTTAGTTTGTAGGTAATGAAATCAGTTGTTTCCGTATCCCTACCTTATATAGTCTTAGTGTATGTAGTGAAATCAGTTGTTTCTTTATCCCTACCTTATATAGTCTTAGTTTGTAGGTAATGAAATCAGTTGTTTCCGTATCCCTACCTTATATAGTCTTAGTTTGTAGGTAATGAAATCAGTTGTTTCCGTATCCCTACCTTATATAGTCTTAGTTTATAGGTAATGAAATCAGTTGTTTCCGTATCCCTACCTTATATAGTCTTAGTTTGTAGGTAATGAAATCAGTTGTTTTCCGTATCCCTACCTTATATAGTCTTAGTTTGTAGGTAACGAAATCAGTTGTTTCCGTATTCCTACCTTATATCGTCTTAGTGTAGGTAATGAAATCAGTTGTTTCCGTATCCCTACCTTATATCGTCTTAGTGTTGGTAATGAAGTACAATGCTTCTACGTACTTAGCGTCCTGATAAAGAAATACAATGTCTATATTCTAGGAAAATGTTATATATTTCTATAAAAGCACAGTGTGGGTAGTTTTTTACTCACACCCAGAATTAGATTGCGTACTTGCAGATAAGTTGAAGAGGAATATTTCTTGATAACTTGTGCGGTTCACTTTGATCTAATAAGAAATGTATAGACATCTCAATAATCAAGTTTAAGTGACCGAAAACTTAACTAAGCTGACCGCGGCCTTGTATAAACCTTCATCGGCCACTTTCCGATGCAAGTAAAATGCTATATAATCTGATCGTTGTTATTTTATAAATTGAATACCATAGTGCAAAAAGTACATATGTCTCAAACAACATTTTGAAATAAATGAATTTATTAATTTAAATTGGCTATAAAACTTATCGTTTTTGTTTTATTTGTTTGTTTGAAAGAGGCACTTAACTAATTTCATATCAATATTTGTACGTAAGATAAAGTCATATTCGAGGAATAATGACCATTGCTTAGTTTGTTTTTCACACAAATGTGACTTAATTAATTTTAACATTAGGCTCTTCCATTGTAATTGTAACGAGATGGTGTTCTTGTTCATCAGGAGAGGAAAAGTAAGTATAATGATGTGGCTCTGGTGCTAGTTATATTTGTCTAATGGACCGTGTAATCAAGGGATTGCAGGTGATGTGTAGGTTACATTTTAAAATCAACTCAAAGTGTACGTGTTGCTGATTTGAGAGCATGCATTGCCATTTACATTTTTTATTTTATTTTAAACATACATACATGTTTCAGTTATCATTTGACATGGTGGCTATATACGGCTAGAGCAAAGCCTAGCCGATATCGGAGTCAGTTACAGTGTGTAAATATATCAGTTCATAGGGATTAAGGGAAGAGGCCAGTTTTGGAATATAGCCATTAATATGGATTAAGATAGGGGTCCTAGGTGGAATATACCTTGTCATTCATTTCACTATTAGCCATTAGTTCCACCTAGCCATTAGTTCAATCTAAACATTTGATCAACCTAACCATAAGTTCCACATAACCATTAGTTTCACATAACCATTAGTTCCACATAACCATTAGTTCAATCTAAACATTTGATCCACCTAACCATTAGTTCCTTCTAGCCATTATTCCCACCTAGCCATAACTACCATTAAACCATCAGTTCCACCTAGACTTTAGTTCCTACCTAGTCATTAGTTCCACCTAGCCTTAAATACCATCCAACCATAAGTTCCACCTACCAATTAGTTCCATCCAACCCTTACTTCCATCTAGCCATTAGTAACGGGAACATGACATTACACCCACCCCGCGTCAATTACCCCCCCCCCCCCGGACAATTACCCCCCCCCATTACCCCCCGGAGTAATTACCCCCCTGTCAATTACCCCCCACCTCCCACCCCCGCCCAGTAGGACATTACCCACCCCCCCACCCCCGGACAGGATTAGGGTTAGAGTTAGGGCTAGGGTTAGGGTTGGGGCTATAGCTATGGCTAGGGTTAGGATTAGGGTTAGGCTTAAACCAATTTCTATTGTTGGTTATTGTTTTGTGTTAAGTTTTAGGCTGAGGTGGATGCTAAGTTTTGGTCCTTTTCTTAAGGTTAGGATTAAGGTAATATATATATAGGTATAGAATTCTAGTTAGAGTTAGGATTCTAACTTGAAGGAGGGGGGGGAGGGTAATTGACAAGGGGGTCATTGCTCCGGGGGGTAAATACGGGGGGGGGGTAATGTCCTGTAGCCATTAGTAACACCAGCTAGCCTTTTGCGTCACATTTCAGAATAGCCCAGACCAAACTACACAATATCAAGAAGGCAGAGGCCATGAAGTCCCTGCCCCCTAGTCCAGTAGAGGCGTGCTACCTGTCATCAGACTCCACTGACTCCATAGACAAAACGTCCATAGATGACCAGAGGAGTCAGGCAATCCAAGCCATCATGCTGGGGATGGAAGCTGGGGAAACTTTTACAATCAATCACATAGTCGACTAGTCTAGACCAATCAATAAACAAATGGAGATTCTTCCTTTGATTTAATATTATGACTTTTCGTGTGCATTCCTTAGCGTGTATTTTAGATGTGTTGTGTTCCACAGTACCCAGTTTTATTCAGAATTAGAGGTCTCAAAATTCACCTCTTGAAGAACTGTCACCTTCAATATGCGCCGCTAGGTAGTGTGCCATTCCGTCACATCATTCGCGGTTATAGGGCGTCCGAGCTTTGTCAATGTGGTCTCATCATAAATTTCGCCGAATGGGCGGTCTCTCACAGTGCGGACGCCCATGAGAGCACGCTCGGCTCTTCCTAATCAGTCTACCAGGAAACAAGTTAATAAAAAGTCTAGTGACAATTTAAGCGCAATTTCCTTAATTAATTTTTTGTGACCGAACGAAAGGATATTTTTGAAAACTTTCTTCGGCAATATTGTTCTAAATTACGGCAGGAATCAATTGGTAAATGTTTCAAGTCGCTAAGTGGTCTGGTTGCCGAGATATGGGCCAAAAACTGCATTTTTTTCTGGGAAATCCAGGAAGGAATTCCGGGAATTTTTTTGGCCCACAATCATCATCGGAACTTGCTTAACATATTTGCTTTTGGAACTAATCGATATTGCTTCGTTGAGGAGGAGATACTACTTAAAGCTGCGGACACACATCGGACACACATCCATCCAGATGTTAACAATCATTTGCGCTAAACCGTTGCAAACGTCCTTGTGGGCATTATAACTTGTTTTAAATCGGCCCTAATTTAAACGAATGGTTGCTATGTCTTTCTATGACGTCCGCTCCACTGAATATAAACGTATCTTTCACTAGCCCCAGTCACGGTTCGTACTTAACTGCACCATCCACTAGAGTGGTCTGTGCTTACCCGCTCGTGACCAGGGACAGTACGTCACCCCAGCCTCCGACCAATCTGACTACGCATTTGTCGTGCCCAGCTTAGTTTGAGTGCACCCACACATGGAGCTAAGTGTGTAAGTTCGCTTACGCCACTGCCTATGCCTCTTCTCTAGCTCGACGTGTAGGCTTGTCTGACCGCTGCTTAACTCGACATGGGGCTTGTTTGTAAGGCCACAGTGGCATGGCTAAGATTTGTATGTGCCCACGGCTTGTGTTCAGTGTTGGTTATTAAATATGGATATGCAGGCTTGAAGTTTCTGCTTGAGGTATTTATAGTATACCCATGTTCGAGTAGAAACAGGCCTGCATTTTTTTTTTAAACACATTGATGAGTCTTCTAAGAGGTCCGCGCGTTTGAAAAATTCACTTCTTGAGCTTGCATGATAAATTTGAATAGAAAAGAATTGCTTATTCCTAAAGCTAAAGCTATCATGTTTAGCACAATATTTATAACTTTTTAAAGAGCTAAGCCTAAAAATTAAAGAATGGCCGAAAATTTCCTGCCGTTGCCATGGTGATGGAAGCCATCTTGGATTTTATTTAATGCCCTTAATTAAATGACCTATGGCTATAACACAGAGGTCATGATATGAATTTAATGAAAATCTCAACTTTATTCCAGCTAAACAGATTAGATTTCTTTAGCGCAAAACAATTTTACTTTCATATAAATGACATTTTCTCCCCCTAATTTCAAAGCTTTTAATTTTAAAATTAATATACAGACTGCCTTCTTTCTACTTTTCAGTAATTAGATAATATGGTGAAAAAAATATTTCTAAATACTAATATTTTAACTTTTTTTACAGTTCGCAAAAATTTAATGAACATAAAAATGATTAATTAATAACAGCAATCAAAATCACATAATTCTACCTTTCTCATTAGGACTTTATTCAGAAAAGGGAGGTAAAAACAAATATCTGGAACATTTTCAATTCTGTATTACACCAAAAACTATGGATTTATTAAAGAGTACAGACAAAAGTTTTATCAGACAATACAAGAAAAACATTCAAAGAACTGCAAATTACAAAAATGTAAGATTACAATTTACAGTTGTATGGTTACAATGGAAAAAATTGCATGGTGTATGATAAATAAATGCAGACCTGGTATAATGTAAACTCTTGTTTTTACAACAGGCATTGAAAGACTTGATAAATATAAGCAGTACAAAAACATGTCAAATTGTAGAGACAAATCATGTTGCATAGGTACTCATGGATAAATATGGAATTAACATTGTCAATCATTGCTAGGGAAATATCTGATAGTTTTCTTTTTGGGGATGTCATGTTTCTGTGGGGGTTATGTGCCCATGTCATGCAGTGTGTGTGTTTGCACTAAGTTATGTGTAGTGTGTGCATTTGCACTAAGCTATGTGTAGTGTGTGCACTAAGCTATGTGTAGTGTGTGTTTGCACTAAGCTTATGTGTAGTGTGTGCGTTTGCACTAAGCTATGTGTAGTGTGTGCACTAAGCTATGTGTAGTGTGTGTTTGCACTAAGCTATGTGAAGTGTGTTTGCACTAAGCTATGTCTAGCGTGTGTTTGCACTAGGCCTAAGCTATGTGTAGCGTGTGTTTGCACTAAGCTATGTGGTAGTGTGTGTGTTTGCACTAAGCTATGTCTAGCGTGTGTGTTGGCACTAAGCTATGTGTAGTGTATGTGTTTGCACTAAGCTATGTGTAGTGTGTTTACCATTTACAAATGTCAGATTTTCATGATACACAAAATTAATCTGATTATAACATACTGACCACTGTCAAAAAAAAAATATCAAGGAAAATAATGCAGAACAAATTTTAGAGGCCTGCACAATATTATGTACATATATAATTAAAGAAATCAATACAGTTTAAGTATATCAATACTTACCATAAAAGGTAAGAATTTTTCTTTTAACAATGTGAAAGTAAGGCAATGATATTGTAAATTAATCAAACGATGGGTAGGATCATACTTGTGTACAACAAGTGAAAATAAAAAGAAGTACTTGTAAATAATTTTCTAGGCAGAAATCTCAACAAAAAAAAAGAATTGATATTACAATTGATATGAGACAATTTGTAGTTGTAAACACTAAACTAGAATCTGACGTTGATACTGTTAATGGATATGAGATCACAAATATCAATAATTCTTAGGATCAGTCCATAAATAATTGCCAATTCAGCAAAAGGGACATATAAACACAGCAATCTGTCATTTAAACTGCAAATGTGATAATAACTGCAGTCAAATCTAATTTCCCATCCCACCAGGATTACTGAACCACTATTTTAACAATGCCAGTCTCCTTTTAACTTTGAGCTTATAAACATTTTACTAATAAATTATATACTCCCTTACAATGAGTAAAAAGACTAAATTACATAGCATTTTGTGTAAAGAAACAATTTGAGAACACATGACAAAAAACAGTTTAAATATATAAATAAAATGTGACATGAAACAGCAATATTTAAACAATATACATATGTATATTTTAGCACCAAATTGCTACCAGTGCAAGAAACCAATGTCATCAAAGAACTAACTATATCACAGAACAGAATTCCTGCCTTGTATAAACTGCTATAGGTTAGCATTGAGCTACAAAAGCCCTTGGAAGTTCTGCTCAAAAAGTGCCGGGTAAGATTTCTGGAACTGCTTGAGTCTTTGTTTCTTCTCCTTGAGGGAGATGCGGGTGTTGTCTAGCACTGAGTTCATCAAGTCTATCAGGGACTCCTCTGTACAGTCCTTGGACTGCCTCTCAAATTCCTCTGCTGTCACCCGGTTACAAAAACTTGATTCTGGAGGGAATGATATGGAACAAATATAACAGATGGACTACAAAAACATGATTCTGGAGGGAATGATAAGGAACAAATATAACAGATAGACTACAAAAACTTGATTCTGTAGGGAATGATATGTAACAAATATAACAGATAGACTACAAAAACATGATTCTGGAGGGAATGATAAGGAACAAATATAACAGATGGACTACAAAAACACGATTCTGGAGGTAATGATATGGAACAAATATAACAGATGGTTACAAAACCTGGATAAGAGTGTTCCCATCCTCCTCACATGTGTGTAGTTGAATAATTAGTTACAGGAATTATTACCACATGGTTTCTTACAGCAATGTATATACATTTCCCCCAATCACACTCACCACAGGACAACATGGGCTTGCCGGTCTTGAGCTGGTAGAGCTTGAGCGCCACCTTCTGCCTGATGTAGCGAGGTATGGTGAACATGTTCTCCACCTTGTTCATCATGAACTGGATCAGCTTCTGGGCCACAGTGGACGCCAGCAGCTTGTGCTGGAAGATGGAGTTGGTCAACAGACCCAGGATGGCCAGTTCATTGGATTCCTGGCAGCAACAGATAAACAAGACTTAGGAGTGTTGACAGAACTAGGCTCTAAACCTAATGTGGAAGATGGAGTTGGTCAACAGACCCAGGATGGCCAGTTCATTGGATTCCTGGCAGCAACAGATAAACAAGACTTAGGAGAGTTGACAGAACTATGCTCTGAACCAAATGTTAGTAAAAGGATCTTATATCACTGAATATAAAGACGGGAGTGCCTTCGTGTATGGTAGAGCTCACTACCCCTAACCCAAAAGTCATGAGTTTGGACCCCTGGCTTGAGTCTGTAGAAATGCCTGAGTCAACCCAGCTCTGATGAGTTCCTCACGTTAGGGAAACAAAGACGGCTGAGCATTGTGCTGAACACACTATCCTTTAAATGCCAGTCACCAAAAAAAGATGAACTCTACTTCATCTGACACACGTGTCTTGGGCACAAACAGGAAAAGGTGATTGAATATGAGAACACTGCTAAAATGTTGCATTGAACCCTGCTTAAGGTAACCCCTTTATATCACAAGTAAAAAAATTCTTTCTTTTTTAAGTAATACACTTGAATGTCTAATAAAATGCTTGCATAAGATTATCAATCAGGGACATGCCGCTTCATTCGCATTACAAAAACTTCATACTTGAGGTATAATGGTTGACTGACATTTCAGGTGAAAGTGGATGTATTCATTTGCTGACCATACAATCCCTACACACACCAAGCTGACTCCACAACCCCCATATACAACTAACATCAACAATGAAACTCTACTTCACCTGTCAATGACAGGTTACTTTAAGTTAACAACCCAAGGCCTCCATCATCTATTCCGTATGTGTGGTAGCACACAAGAAAATGGGTACCTGAGCATCAATACGAATTGTGGAATCACAGGCAACTGAGCGCATGAACTTTAGCAGCCTGTACAACTCCTCTCTCACAGTAACTGGCAGCAGGATCATATACAGCTGCAAGGCACTCAAAGCTGGAATAAAAACAATACAGGATCATATAGAGCTGCAAGGCACTGAAAGCTCGAATAAAAACAAAACAGGATCATATGTAGCTGCAAGGCACACAAGGCTGAAATAAAAACAAAACATGATCATGTACAGCTGCAAGGCACTCAAAGCTGAAATAAAAACACAACATGATCATATACAGCTGCAAGGCACTCAGAGCTGAAATAAAAACACAACATGATCATATACAGCTGCAAGGCACTCAAAGCTGAAATAAAAACACAACATGATCATATACAGCTGCAAGGCACTCAAAGCTGAAATAAAAACACAACATGATCATATACAGCTGCAAGGCACTCAGAGCTGAAATAAAAACAAAACAGGATCATATACAGCGGCAAGGCACTCAGAGCTGAAATAAAAACAAAACAGGATCATATACAGCTGCAAGGCACACAAGGCTGAAATAAAAACAAAACAGGATCATATACAGCTGCAAGGCACTCAGAGCTGAAATAAAAACAAAACAGGATAATATACAGCTGCAAGGCACTCAGAGCTGAAATAAAAACAAAACAGGATCATATACAGCTGCAAGGCACACAAGGCTGAAATAGAAACAACGAACATACCCTTAAAAGTTAATAATAGAAATCAAATATAGAAAATACAAGTACAACTGCAGTTGTAATTAGGTAAACTTAAATTATGGTTTGGCATAAATTTTATGCTAAACAGACGAGTAAGCAAGCATGCATGTCACCTCCCCCAGGAGTTTCCATTGCTCTTTCATTCAGAAATAGTGGCCTTAAATGTGATTTTACACACCTGTAAATTTTGTCGCTATTCGTCTTATTAAAAACTATGGCTTAAGCTTATGTTTCAAGCAATAAAACCATTTTAATTTCCTTTTTTAAAAACAAGTTTGACCTACCATTATCATCCTGGCCAGCTAGAACTAGATTTAAAATGGCTATATTTAGCTCCAAATACTTTTGTGGCAACAGACATTCAGCTTGGCTGGTAAAATGTTTCACGATTATATCCTTGGCCCAGACTTTAGCTTCAATACCTCGTCTCTTGAAGATTGGCTCACTCAACAAACTAAATCCTGAAAAGAATAATTCACTCAGTTGACAGAACTTCACATTTTAGTCTATACAAGTTAATTGATACATATGCCGAGGTCACAGAAACAAGTGAACTCTACTTCACTTGCCCCATAGACCGTCAGGTTTGAAAGGGAAACAAGAGAGAGGGAAACAAAAGTCGGCTGGGTATTGTGCTGACCACGCTATCCTTTACATTCCGAGGTCAATAAAAAAGATGTACTCTACTTTATCTGCTCCATTTAAAATTAAAGCCAAATAATTTCCAATTTCATTAACAACTAACCTGAATAAAAATTTTCAATCATTGTTATAAATAACCAATGATCAACAAAAAGATGAACGTATAGAGAGGTTATATTGTAAAATTATATTATAGATAACAAATTTTTTACTACCCCTCCAACACATTAAGTATACGTGTCAACTGGTTATGCACCATTGAGGCCATTAACTCTGATTTCAGCCTGCTTTTCTTTTTGGATTTGCTTCCATAGCCTTTGTCCAACCAAGAACAAACTACAAGGCAGCAGTTGTTTGATTTTGGAGTTATCTCTCCTAGAAGAGTGGCTGTCCCCAGCTACAAGCCTCATCTGAGGGGTTTGAACTTCAGACTTTTCAGTTTAGCAATCATGAACTTTACCGACTCGACCACCCCTATCGGTAGTAAAATGCATAGATCTATATTTGCAGTAGCCAGATCTACCTCTAGGGAGGAACTCAATGCACTCCATGGCTGTCTTGAGAAGTGGGTCTGATGGTGTGTTGAGGCTGCTGGGGGTCAGGGGCACATGCCAGCTGCGGGCCACGATGTTTGAAATGATCAAATGGTCTCTCTGTTGCTGCTGCCGACTCCTTTTCTCCTCACTCAGGATCCCATCCAGGAAGGTCAGGTCTACTATGGTCAGCAGCTGCCTGAGGGCCACCTCTCTCCACATGTCATCAATTTCTGTTCAAACATACAGCAAGCAAAGATGTACTGGCATCGGATAAAAAGTAGCATTTTTTTTTACAAGGAGGGAAATTGTTATTATTACCACAAATAAAAACGGAAAATAGAGGTTTTAAAAATTACACATAAAAATATCTGGTGGGAAATTTTCTTCAAAGTTAAAAATTGGATTTCCTAAAATATTTCATATCTGAAAACGGTGACCAGAAAGATGCGCAAATACAAGTAATTATACCTATACACTTTAATTTTGTTATTAATTAACGATGGACATATGCTTTATTATGCTAAAATGCACTTTATTAATGTCTATAATTGCTTGATACTTGATTAGAAAAAAATAAAAATGCCCTTGTGCACTATTACTGTGAACCCTGGAAAGGAAAATTATCTTTTCACTTGCAGAAGTCAATAGAATAAGGCATAAAACAGAATTCATGGGAAATCTGGATCTTGTGTGGGTAACTACTAAATTGCCTTTACTTTTTACTATTTGAATTAAGCCATCCACAAATAAAGATTTATAAGAATATAAGAAACTAAGAAAAACTTGCCTTTTGTGACTTACTAGGATTTTTAAAATTTAGAGCCAAATTAAGTACTTGAAAAAATAAACTATGTGACATAATTTTTAATAAGACAATAATAAATTATTTAATTATTAGCTTGCCTATATTTAAAATGTGATGCCAAGATGGTTTTAGAATAGAAACTGGAAGTAAATTCAAACCTTCAGCGGAAAGTGCTTTAACTTTTGTGCCTGGTGTTAAGGAACAATCCAAGTCAAATGTCACAGTCCCATCTTTTATATGTTGATTTTGTATCTCTCTGAGTGGCCTGGTGTTGGTAGAGGCTTCAGAGTCATTTGGCTCCTCATCTGGCTCAAAGGCTCCAGACATCCTGGAAAATAGCAGATAACTTTTAATGATTAGGGTAAAACAAATTTCTACTATAGCTCTGTATCACAGACATACTGTATGTTTAGAGTTACTGACCCTTTGAATGGTGAGAACATTAAAACATCCTGACAGGATTATAAGACTTATTTTTACAAGAACTTGAAGCTTACTGTGAGGACCCTGATTTTTCAATCTGCACCATCACAACAAAACAAGCATATATTATCATATAGTGACCTCATGCTTTGTCTATTGAGCAAGTTTCAACATCTACAAACCTAACAGAATCAGATGACTGGGTCATGTTGTGAACTACTGATCTGTCCCCATCTTCTTCATTCAAATCCAGCGCATCCTCATCCACTGCATGCTCCCCTATAAACTGATACAGCTTGTTGCTGCTATCTTCAAACATTATTTTTTCTGTGTCTGGTTTCTCTGTGGCGGACTGAAACACTTTTCTCTGCATCAGCATTTGACAAACCTTCAAAATTCAAACACTGAATCAACATCATTTTAAAGTAATTAATTACTTTTTTTCATAATACTAAGAAAAAAACTTTTAAAATTTATCATAATAACAGTATGAAAATAATTACTACCTCTAAATTATAAAAAGATAACAACAAAATCATACTTTAACAGCCTTTTCCCTAGATAAATCTGATGAAAACATTTCCTTGTCATTAAGAAGAAAATGAAGCACAACATCAACAGCATCAGTGCCAGTAAAACATGATTCTATATGCCTCATTTTGTACCGCCTTCTCTTCAGTTCTACCTTACATTTTAAATGCTCAATAAGATCATTCCAAATTTTTGTGGCACGGAAAGGACCTGTGATTTTTTTCACATGAAAAAAAAAAATTAAAATCTGTTAAAAACAAGAATATAATTAGGGCTAGGCCTATAATAAATAGTGGGACAGACTAAATTATTGCTATTGTATTAACTTTAGGTAACTAGGCCTATGTGGTATTTAAAGTAGAAAATAAAAATCACTAGGCCTAATCACACAATTATTTAGGGTCTGCAAGGTCTAGATTTCTAGTTACTAGATCTAGATCAAGTCAAAACTATAAACTATAAACTAATGAATAGAAAACTAGAAAAGACTAGTTTTTTTTTATTTGGTTTTTTTTAAAGCTTTTTGTAAGCCCTAGTAGTAGTAGTAGATAGATAGGCCTACAGATATTCTATTATTATTAAGGCCGATTGCAGCTGGAAAAAGATGTGCATATCATAAATGCATAGCTCTACAATTACCTGGTTTTTATCAACATTTACAATATTACATTTAGCCTACATGATTGCTGTTTAGTGTTTAATGTTTGTTTACTGTATGATTGTTTAATGTTTAGGCTTCCGCTAAGGCTAGGCTAATGTCACATATGTATGTATGTTGTGATGGGACAGGTATTAACAAGATAAATACTACTTATAATTATTATAGTATAGGCCTACTTAAATAAATAAATAGTAAATCATAGGCCTACTAAATTAGTAGTTTTTCTTACTATATGTGAAATCTACTCAATTCTCAATTTAAACATGACAACTGAATAAAAAACGTCCATACTTTATCCTCTAGGCACTAATTTTGGGGGTTGTAGCGAGTTTAGACTAAATTATTGAATTTTAAAAATTTTTGTCACTCACAGCTATGATATGACGGATCATCCATGACAACCTGGTTAAAAGTTGAAAGGTTTAACTTTTTAAGTGACCGTGAAATAGATCTAATTTTTTTTCACAAGAGAGTTCCTAAAAGTAGAATTGGCCCGTCTATCGTCGGGTAATATTTTTAGAGGAAAAAAATTTAAGAGAATGTCATCAGAAAAGAATTTAAAATAAGACAAGACAGAAGTGATGTTTGAATTCTTTTATTTCTTTAATTTTATAACATTTTTTATTGTACAAAAGAGCAAAATAAAAAACCATGCCAGGTTAACGTTTCCATTCAAATAGCGGTCACGTGGTCAATCTTATAAAAAAAACGGTTGAAGATATTTGATTTATTTTTTCATAGACTGATAAAACTAATAATGCTTTACTATGGAAATCAATTTTGTGATATGGAGATCTATATTTAAAAAGTTATATTATTTTGAATGACACCGACTTTAAATTTAGCCTACATTCCCCAAAGCAATTTTTGAAAATGCTTTTCTGGCATATTTAGCCTTGCCACCTATAGCATGTTTTTATAACGTGAAAACCCGCCATTTTACTCGTGATAAACATTTTTAAAAGTAATTCTAAGAAGGTCTCTGGAACTTAGTCGAAAAACTCGCTGGAAGTCATGGTCCGATCCTTACGCCATGTTCTGGTTAGCAACCAAGGACGCTTTCAAGTTAGTGAGCCTCGCTATAAATTAGTAAAATAGGCCGTTACTAGTACTCTAGTACTAGAGGAGCTTACACTTTTCGGACACACATAGCAAAAAAACGCAACGTAAAAATTCCATGCGGTCTCATTCAGTAACCGCTTAACATAGAACACAAAAAAAAGTATCATATCTATCCGCAACCATTCTACTTTAATAATGTGTGTGTCATTTTGTATTCATACGCATAGAACTTAAGCTATTCTTGTTATAGTGACTGGGGGGTCTTAACGTGTGTTCGAACACATGTAATACAGTTTTACATGTGTTCGGACACCTTTACCCGTCATCGGACATAGCACTTTTTGTTCATTTAGAATAATTTAAAGTCAATTTAATGAATAAAAACATATATTATATGCATGTATATTGTGTTATTGATTGTTTGTGAGGTAATTTTAATAGTATAAAACCTTTTTCCCACACTCCCAAAGTTCATCCCATTCAGCCATTGCGGCTCGCGCAGTACGCTGCTAAGCCAGCCAGGTCACATGATTCCCCCTCCTCTTTCGCATTCCACTGCCTTCTTGACCTTATTTTGACCCTTTCCCTTCAATAACCAGCCCCTTTTATGCTCTAAATTCTTATTTAGTAATATTTTTGTGTTGCTGTCCGCTCCCATGTAAGGCCAAATAAGTTAGCGAACACCCCTTTTTTATTGTTCAAGCACAAAAAAACCCATTAACCTTGACATTTACGATGTTCCATACATATATAGAAGCTATTTATAGTGTAACCTTTTAGCTAAGCATTGATTGGTTCAAGTTTTGCCCCTAAGTCCAACCCTAGGTCACTTCATCCGGCTGGTGTAAAAATAGAAATGTGCGTACCATGCAACGTTAAAAAATTTCTAAAAATAATTCTTGAGAAAGGAAACGGAAGTACTTGACACGGAAGTGTTCATAAATGAACAGTTTACGTGCAGGCGCCGTGGTTTCGCGTGAGACATGCTAATTAAAGTTTCTATGAGCCAAAAACCGACGAAGTGTTCGCTCCTACGTAATTTTTGGTGTGTGTCCGAAAAGTGTAAACTCCTCTAGATCTAGTAGTAGAGGAGCTTACACTTTTCGGACACACATAGCGAAAAAACGCAACGTAAAAATTCCATGCGGTCTCATTCAGTAACCGCTTAACATAGAAAACAAAAAAAAGTATCATATCTATCCGCAACCATTCTACTTTAATAATGTGTGTGTCATTTTGTATTCATACGCATAGAACTTAAGCTATTCTTGTTATAGTGACTGGGGGGTCTTAACGTGTGTTCGAACACATGTAATACAGTTTTACATGTGTTCGGACACCTTTACCCGTCATCGGACATAGCACTTTTTGTTCATTTAGAATAATTTAAAGTCAATTTAATGAATAAAAACATATATTATATGCATTTATATTGTGTTATTGATTGTTTGTGAGGTAATTTTAATAGTATAAAACCTTTTTCCCACACTCCCAAAGTTCATCCCATTCAGCCATTGCGGCTCGCGCAGTACGCTGCTAAGCCAGCCAGGTCACATGATTCCCCCTCCTCTTTCGCATTCCACTGCCTTCTTGACCTTATTTTGACCCTTTCCCTTCAATAACCAGCCCCTTTTATGCTCTAAAATTCTTATTTAATAATATTTTTGTGTTGCTGTCCGCTCCCATGTAAGGCCAAATAAGTTAGCGAACACCCCTTTTTTATTGTTCAAGCACGAAAAAACCCATTAACCTTGACATTTACGATGTTCCATACATATATAGAAGCTATTTATAGTGTAACCTTTTAGCTAAGCATTGATTGGTTCAAGTTTTGCCCCTAAGTCCAACCCTAGGTCACTTCATCCGGCTGGTGTAAAAATAGAAATGTGCGTACCATGCAACGTTAAAAAATTTCTAAAAATAATTCTTGAGAAAGGAAACGGAAGTACTTGACACGGAAGTGTTCATAAATGAACAGTTTACGTGCAGGCGCCGTGGTTTCGCGTGAGACATGCTAATTAAAGTTTCTATGAGCCAAAAACCGACGAAGTGTTCGGTCCTACGTAATTTTTGGTGTGTGTCCGAAAAGTGTAAACTCCTCTAGTAGATTTAAATAGGCTATAAAAACAGATTTGTAAAAATTATCTTAACTTATAGATCTAGAATAGAACTGTTTGCCAGATATAACTAGATCTAAATCTATACTATACTATCATACTAATGCACTATGACAAGTTATGAATATGATTATGAACCCTCAACCTCTGCGGCCTGTGGCTGATGACTTGCTGTACTGTAGCTAGGCCGTAGCCGTAGTAATTTAGGCATTAGGCCTAATAAAGAACCAACATGTTAAATACTAGATCTAGATCTACATACCTACTGGTCCTTTCGATTCTCTGAACGGGATCGCTCTTTCAAAACGATCAGGTTGAGGAGATAAAATATCCGTAGTTAAATAAGATGCCATTCTTTCATATCTACACTTTACTTTGTTTTGAATGAACCTCCTCGGACAAAGTATGCCAGATTTTTTTAGATCAAGTTGTCATCTTAACTTCAAGTGCTCCCAAACAACTTAAAAAGTGCTATTTTGTTATGTTTGCTCTCAAAGAATTACTCACTGTTTGTCTTTAAACTAAAACAAAGAAAATAAATTCAAAAGTTAAAAAAAATATTCTGTTGTAATGCATTTCTCAAAATTACTTAGATCTAGAACTTTTTAGTTCAGCATATTTCCAACACCCTCTTCAAACCTATGAGTATTTACTACCGGGACACTTTAAAAGCTTCTGGTCAATGTTATTGAAAAGAAAATTGAAACTGATTTCAGTACGTCAACATTTTCTAAGCTTTGCAACCCATGTTTTTAGTTAACTTCATAAAATGTAACACTATTGGAATCAATAATTAGATCAATAGGCTCACAACTGGCATTAGGTCTAGGCCGGAAGTTTTGATTTTGGTTATGACAAAAAATGGCCGCATCCTTAGTTCGTACTTGTGTATTATCTCGGTTTACATTAGCGGTCACTAGAGGTACTCCCATTTGTCTAAATTATGGTGAGTAATTGAATTAAAAATTGCTTATCTCCTGTATTTAAGTACAAAACTAAGCAGGGCAAATGTTCTAAGTATTTTAAAATTGTACTCAAAATTAAATAGTAATAAAAATAGGCAGAGCGCCTATCGGCTACTAAAAAAAACTAAAGTGAAAGTGACGCTAAAGTCAAAGTGCCGGGCTAAAGTTAAAGGCCCTACCAGTGAATGGTGCCAGTGCACTGAGTGCAGTATTTGAGTATTTGCCCTATTAATTTCGAAGTCTATTCCCAGTTTTAATTTATGTTTTAAACACCAAATTAATCATGAGGTTGTGTGGCCGAGTGGAAATGTGGGTGGCCGCTGTGCTGGAAGGTGCGGGTTTGAACCAATCGGCATCAAATGTCTTGTCTTTTACACTTAATTTTATTTTTTCCTGTTCATGAAAGGGTTATGTTTGTTAATTTTTTAATCGTATGTGACGTGATTAGGCCTAATGGCATAGCTGCAATAAAAATAAAATACTTAAAAAAAACTTTTTAAAAAACCACGTTTTTCTTGTGGACTAAAAAGTAGAAAATAAATTTTTCTTTTGTGCTTCCTCGAGCTGTGCAGATTCTTGTGATGACTGACAAAAAACGTGGGTACGTTCACCATCAAATTTCCCGACCCATCTGCCCGACCCACGTTTTTTGTCAGTCATCACAAGAATCTGCACAGCTCGAGGAAGCACAAAAGAAAAATTTATTTTCTACTTTTTAGTCCACAAGAAAAACGTGGTTTTTTAAAAAGTTTTTTTTAAGTATTTTATTTTCTCCTTTTTAGTCCGTTGCTACACATGAGAAACGTGGTTTTTAAAAAAGTTTTTTATATAGTTTATTTTCTACTTTATCTAATGACTTGATTAAGTATGACTTGACTAAGTGTTTATAAATACACGGACTAAAAATCTTGAGCGACCAGGATTCGAACCTGGGTTGTCGCGGCCACAACGCGAAGTACTAACCACTATACGATCACGGCCAGCGCGCTCACATCGATTGGGGCCGAAGTAACTGTGCCAATAGGCCTCCAGTCTTGTCGGTATCTTTAGAAATCATGTCCTCAATTTTATGGTCCTTGGGGCGTAATTAAATTAAGCTAATTACGGTCTCTAATTGCTAGTTTTTATGATTGCATCTGAAATTGTTAGGCGAAAGTAGCCTGCATGCCAAATTTCAGATCTGTAGAGCAATCAGAAGTGGGCTAATTTTCGATGTCAATTTTAACAACAAACAAACAAACAAACGCGAAGCTGAGTTAAGAAAAACGTGTTAAAAATGACATGTCCCTTAGATTTTTGGGTAAAATCTTAGTTTAGCGTCGTAAATTCGGCCAAAACTAGTAATGTGGGAGAGAGTGAATTAATGAATATGTCATTAAATATGAGTATATTTTCGTATATTTTGATAAAGTATTATAGATAATTGAATAATAGATCACCATTGATGGTTAAATCAATTTAAATATCCTGAAATTAATTTTTATCAACCCTGTTCGAGATAGTAAATTTGCTATTAAAAACAGCAGCCATCTTAAGAAAATGTTATTGAGATTAGCTTCCCTTTAATTTCTATTCATATGAAAATGTATTTAAATATGATCGTCTTGTTGTGTAGTCCGTATTACAAAGCATTTTTTTTTTAAATGTGAATTTCCTAACAAACAACTTTATTAATTCTAGAAGCATTGTGAGATGCAACTTGTATCCATGTATTAAATCACGTTTTTTTTTTACTAATGTTTATTTGATCTTACTATTATTAAATAGTTGTGAGTTTTTTCTTATTGTTTGAATGTTCACTATTTTCATTTCAGGTTTTTCTTTTCATCAATTAGTAATTCTATCGTAACTTATGACATTTTTTTACTTCTCTTTACCATAATTAAACCCCAACCTCCGTCATATTTTTGTCGTCAATGTCACAACAAGTCATAATGTAAAAAAAGTACGCTTCACTCTGCCTTATCTAAGATCTCTAACCATAATTTTGACAACATTAAATGTTTGTCATCATTTATATATACAGAGAGACAAAATGTATTATCCACCAGCTTCCCTCGTAAAACATCATCTAAAACAATGAGCCAGTCCACCCCTTAAGTGCGTGTTGTCATTATTTATGGTCGATCGCAAGTCTCCACCTGCCAGACACATTTTGGTTATCCTTTGTTGTCAAATTGTCAATATCAAGTACACAAGTGAGTGATATGGGGTTGTCCATAAATGATGTCACATATGATTTGCTACGGGAGTGAGTGAAGATTTGTGACGTCAACTCAGGCGGCTTTGCAATTTATGACGTGTCGGTCTCATGAATGAAGGGAGGTGAACGGGGAAAAATACCTAGGTGATTGATGGAGAACCTCTATAATGCTTTGTTCAATCAAAATAACGATAAATAAGCATTAATATACGTATACCTTGCTTAAAACGAATCATCACAAATGTTGCAAGCCTGCTAGTTTAAGACATTCGGCAAAACGGCCGCAACACATTATCCCCGTCAAAAAGGCTTGCCACCAAATGCCTGCCGACGAATAAGCCGCGTCTAATGCGGGGCGTTAGGAATACGGCCATTAGCATGGGCCGCGTTAGAGCACCAGTAGGCTATCGCGCTTTGTAAGATGACGTAAATACTTAAATTCAATTTCGCTAAACTAAGCGAAAATTTAGTAATGTTCCATCGTTTGAGGAAATTTATTTTCTTGGACTTAAATTGAAATATCATGTTGACTGTCTGGCTCTTAATTTCCGAATATCACTTTTAATGTATCAAGATTCAGAACTATAATTTACTTTAATAAGTGACATCTTATCGTTTATTGTGGTTTTTATAAAGCGCAGAGCAGCTTCAAAATCGGACGGCCATCCTGTTTTCACCAAGCTTCTTTTGGAGCTTAATATGGGTAGTCTAGTTCTATACGATGAGAGCTTAATACATTTTTAAAGGGCCGAAAGTTTCAAGACAACAAGCTTGCAGAAATAACTACGTACGTTTAAATGGACGAGTGATAGATGTGTTAGGGGCCGTTTAATGAACACCAACTTATGTAATCAAATTAAACGTCGCAAAAGCGTCAAAAAGGCAGTGCTTGTTGTTTTTTTTTCTATAAAATTAGCCTAACGGTCGGCGGTACCGCTACATGACGTCACGTGCGAGCGTTAACTCGGTGACGATGTGCTAAGTGGGGGAATGAAAAAGGTGGGGTTCAAGAAATGCGACTCGGCAAGCTTTTTACATTTCTTGACCCTTCTTAATAGTTCTTTCGTCCCCACTGAGAAAATGGATCACCAATGAATGACGCGTCATACTTCTACAGCTGGTCTTTCTCCCACAACCATCCCGTTTTCACGAGAGAAAAAAAACCTGACCCGTCTCCAAAATCACATCGCTGAGTTCTATTCAACCTCTCCCCACCACAAATCACAATTTCTATCTGAAGCAATATGTTCATATGTTTGCTCTGTAATAATGCACGTTGTCATTACTATCTTAAGCTCGACGTCATTTATGAGCGATCTAACATTGATTTGCTTACTGCAAATAAAGTGTTCAAAAGTTCGACCTCCCAACAATTGTTGTGGTCTTGGATGCACACTATTAAGTCTGATAAGGTCTATTAGTCATTCATGTCAACTATATTAAAAAAAAATTACTATACAGGGGGTCATCCATAAATGATGTCATGCTTTTTTTTGACGATTTTTACCTCCCCCCCTCCCCTCCGTCACACGTCGTCACAAAAAGCCAGACCCCCCCCTAAAATGACGTCACACCTCAGCCTACAACCCCCCTCAAAATTGCAGTTGAATTGTTTTTAAACAGCTATATTTTTCCAAAATCTTGTCTGAACTCTGTCAAAATAGAGTATTTTAATCAATTGTTATTACAATGTATTAAAACAGTTTTTTAAAACGCAAAATAATGTCTAAAATTCGTTTTCTAACATTGCTTTTTTAAAATGCAAAAGTGTGACGTCGCACCATCTGAACCCCCCCCCCCCCTCCCCCTCATCACACAACGTCACAAAATTACGGACCCCCCCCTCCCCCCTACGAGTGTGACGTCATTTATGGACGACCCCCGGCATATACTAAAGCAATACAAAACAATCATATTAAACCACAAAATCAACACAAAAGACATGTGAATAGACAATTTATTGTTTTTAAAACATGGCCACTGCTTGTATTTACTCATTGTTGTCTCGAACGGAGTAGTTTAAAGTTTATTCCAGGATATTTATGACTGGTTTGGTCTTGGATTGTGATTTGTTTTTCAATTATCTGTTATATTATGTAAAATATGACATAAATTTGGCCAAATGAAAGAAATATTCATTAGTTACCTTCATCGCACATTACTAGCTACGTTGGAATTTACGACGCTAAACTAAGATTTTACCGATTTTTGCTAAGAAAAAAAACAACTTGGGAAAAGTGAGATGGAACTGTGAATTATAGTTGATTAAAAAGGACATCCTATTCCTATTTCACCTGATATTTGTTCTATGCGAATTTTAAATAGTAATTGACAGTTGAATATTAATGTGAACTACTAACTAAATTGATGCATAGGACTAATTAATATAGCCTATTAGGATTTATTTTAAAATTACTAGATCTATTAGGTCTAATTAGTAATTAGACTAGTATAGATTTAATTATAGTGCATAATGATAATTGATCAGTTTATCTATGACCAACGTAGCAGAGAAATATTATCCTAAAAGCTAAACTTAAACCATGTCTAATATTTTTTTTAATGAAAATGTAACACAATTAAAAAAAATAGCACTGCTCTCTTCTTAATCTATATCTCACTCCCCAATCACAATAAATGCTTTTATTATTGTAAGATATTATTCCCAGTCGTATTTAGCATGAAATGACAGCCGACTGTGAATAGCCCAAATACGGCTATTCCCAACCGAATACGGCTATTCCCAACCAGCTGGGAATAGCCTAAACCATTGGCCTATTAATTTATTAACTAGATCTATAGGCCATAGGCGTAACTACTATTAACTAGACTCTTTCAGCTATCATGATTTTCTTATTTTAATGTTAACGATTGATGCCAGTTGATAGTCATGATTTAAAATCTAATTGGAATGTACTTTAAGAACTCATGCCAGGATTTTATAACCATATTATTAATTTTAACTACGCCGTGCATAATTTAAAAAAACATTTAATGGGCCTCTCAAATACCTTTGAGACTTTTAAACTACTTTTCTCGCTCCATTCAATAATTATGCCTATTTTAATATGAACATATTCCTTGTTTTAAGTCCCCGCAAGAAACCATGACCAGTACAGAATGAGGTATTTAAGAGAAATGTACAACAGAAGGTTAAAAGTTGGTCCTGAAAAACTAAGGAAAAGATCTGATTGGATAAACTGGTAAAATAACAAGCTTACTGTTTTTTTAATCCTATTAAATTAATGAAATGGTAGTATGAATCCCGAAAACAAAGAGAATTATTCTAAATTCAAAGTTTATTGCACTCATTATTGTTAAATTTTATATGATGTTTCGATTAATGTACTTAAACATTCAAAATGTATACTCTTATAACTGTTTTAAACATTTTCAACAGGAACTATGATGCAGAAATCTTTTGTTTTGGTAAAAGGCTAAGTGAAGATTTCAATGAATCAACTCTAAAGCAAGCATTTATTCACAGGTAAGTAAATCTGAATTGTTTTATTTGATTATGGTGGAATGTAATTTCTATCTGTTATTATTTATTGCCTTAATGATTTGTGCTGTTCTTTAGGAAGTGTGGGGGAGTTAGGTTTTTCGGGCTGTCAGCAATATTGGTAACGTATAACATTGTTGACAGCCCACACAAATATTATACATTTATTGTTGACCCACCGCATGTAACAGGTCAATTTTTTTTGCAGATCCTATGTAGATGCAGAGAAAAAGAAAAGGGAAAAGCTTGGCCTAGATGATGCTGTAATGCAGCTACAGCTAGAAGACAATACAGAGCTTGCAGAACAAGGCATGTATTTCGTGCTTATATATTAAATGATTCAGTTGTGAGTTCATAGAACAGCTTCTTTTGATCCTATGGTATTCCAGGTAGTGTAGGCACATAGTGTTTCTTCCACTGTTTAAAGTATATATTTTCTATATAAATTCTATTTCGTTGGGGGGGGGGGGTGGTAGATGCCTGAAAGAAACTCTGTAGGCACATCATCTAAACTGGGTCGGAGTTTCCACAAAACCAGAATTTTCTAGATAGCCAAGGTCTTAACATGAGACAGCTTGGCTGGGTTTCAGAGCACTGGTTTCCTGAATTTGTATCGACACTACAGTCTGATGTGTATGATGTATGATGAGTTCACAGCTCCTCTTGGAGGAAGTAAATGTGATTAGGCACAGCATGGACAACTCAATATATTCATATACCGTCAAAGAAACACGTGAACTGTCTTGTGGACTATCATGATACTTTTAGCAAGGGCTGTTCTAGTTTGATGCATGATAAATTAGAAAACCAGTTAGTCAAAAATGTTTGGTTTGCAGTTAGCTTGTGAGCCGAGATCCCACGTCCATAGGGCACGTGGCTAGTTTAAGTAATAATTATCTACAATAATTTAGACATGTTCTAAAGTTATTCATAAACTGTATCTTATTTGTCATGAATTCAAGTAGGAGTTAAGTTATTTTAAAAAGTGCAATGGCTAGTGTTAATTGATGTGTAGCACATGTCTTAATAGGCACTTAACATTGACTACTTAATGCTAGGTGAGAGGTCCCAGTCGACTGACTGACTTTACCATACATGGTATGATACAAAAAAACAAGCCCTCCAGAATAATAAAAATGTATTGCATAAACTTGAATGAAATAGCAAGAAAGAAAGTGATAAAAAAATTTTAAGTAATGTAAATTTAAAAATATGCCTCATGTTTAATTTATAGGTTCAAAGCTGATGAGTAGCTACATCAAAATCTATTTAAGAAACATGTATCCATATATGTTTGAAGAAGGCATTAGGTAAATAAAATTTTAATATAACAGCTTTTATTTTCTATTTGTTTTATCTGGTTTTATTCTTAAGTAACAAATGGCTAGTTGAAATTGAAGATCTTTTTTATTAATGTTATTTGTAAGTTGTTGTTAAATTACTCGCCTGTCAGTATTGCCTGTCAGTATTGTTGTTAATTAAGTATAAGAATAAGTTGACTTTTTCTATGCCTATATTGTGGTTCAACTTATTTTTATTTTCTTATTGTTCCCAGTGCTGTGCATAATTTTCTGATGACTAATAGAATGCTTTCTTACATCGCAAAACATATTGGCTGTCGGGATCTTATTCTTTCTGAGGTACCATGTTGAGAAATGTATTGTTTTAGTCTTGTCAGCATTTCACTTCCATTTTTAAAATCATGTACCATATTTTTGTGTGAAATAATGTAAACTTACTTTTATCCAGGAGTTTCCAGTGCGGTCACCAACCCTTAGTCTAACCTTTAAAGCTATTGTAGGGGCCATCTTAAAAGATCAGGTATTATCTCTTTACAATTTTCACTGCTGCTCATTTGTTCAGTATTAAACTGATGAAGACCATGCTTTTAAGTGTGGTTTTAGTCCATTTAGAAGGTTTTAGAAAAAAAAATGTGCACGTATTTAAAATATAACAGATAGTTTGTAATTTTTTTTAAAGTATTTTTTGCCTTTCAATGTGAGTTAACATTGTCAGATTTATGTTACAAAATATACAGTAAACATTTTAATTTAGATAAAAACCCAGGCTCTTCCAAATTGAGCTGAATAACTAATTAAAAGTGATAGTCTTCAGATGAATTATGCTAATGTATTATTTCTTAATGTATTTTTTCTTAATGTATTATTTTTTTGGGTGGCAGCCACCCTCAGTTTATACCTAGGCAAGTGTCAAGCCATGTTAGTACAGTTGTCTTTCTTTTGTTGTTCAAGTTATCAAATTACGTATATGGGGTTTTTCTTTTCTGTGAATGACACTGCACTTGATATTCCTTTATTTGAGTGTTGCTTCTGTTACAACTAACAACATATTGATTTAGTTGGCCTTGTCTTTTGTATCTAGAAAGAATTGTGTTATGTTTGTATATTAACACTAAACACTTACTTGGGTAGGGCAAGGAGCAAGCGGAGAGGTTTGTCCGGGATTTTGTGCTTCCCCAGCTGATTGGGAAAGACATCAATGAATTATGGGAGATCATCAACCCCATGGGTCTGTTGACGGCTGTCCTTGCCATGATTGGGAAGGGGCCACCAGAACCAAGGTTGGTCGTCTAAAAAATTATTTTATTTTTACTTTTTACATTAAAAAAACCCTATTATAGTTTGTTGTGCTATACTTATGTAAAATGGCATGTTTTTTTTTTAATCGCAACAGGTTATTATGGAAATCAGCAACAAACACAATCATGTCCCTTTATTGGGTGGGAATATACAGTGATAAAATATTAATTGCAAAATGTAAGTTGCCCTATGTTTTATTAATCAAGTATTTTTCCCATGCAAATAGGATGTTTGAAATTTTGTAAGCTTTATTTTCTTTAAATAAATCAAAAAGTACTAATTTAAAAGAAACAAACATGTGTAAAATGTTCTAGTTCTAACCTTTATTTATAGCATCTGGTGAGGCAGTAATGAACATTTGTAAAATGTTCTAGTTCAGACCTTTATAGCATCTAATTAAGCAAAAAGATGTGTAAAATGTTCTAGTTCTGAACTTTCTTATTTCCACAGCACCTGGAGAGACTGTAACGATAGCAGAAGAAATGGCTGCGAGGGAAGCTCTGAAGAAAATCATGAAGACGGACGACAGTAGGGCACCTTTACTCCTGGGCAGAATGGCCGAAGGTTTGTCCTTAGATGAAAGTAAAGTCAACATCTCAGCGGAAGATGTCATCAAACAGTTCTACTCATCTAGCCAGCAAAAAACTGCTTCATCATAGCACAGACGATTGACTTGTTTTTGTATTTGTTTGCGTCTAGCATTAGAAATTTATATCTTAAAAACATTTTTGTCTCTGTTCATTTTTATTCACTGTTGTTTTTCTGTTGTCCCATAATTTGCTTACTGGTTCTGTTATCGCCTTTCTGTTTAAAATTTAATTATGCATTATAGGGATCGGTAAACCAGACAGCTTCCTTCTCTTGTCATCACAGTATCCAGGACTTCACTAGGAAAAAAAACTATGCCTTAGATTGTACTGCATGCTATTTATCAATACATCACAAAGTGTTTAAGATATGTATTAATAGGTTTAATAGATATCTATCTTCATTACCTCTCCTCACTTTTAGCAGTAACACGTATGAGAGAAACCTGTAACGATCACACGAGTTTGGATCCATGAGTCCACCCATCTATGAGAAGCACATTAAGGTTTTGTAATGCAAAGGAGGCTGGGCGTAGTACTGTCTACAAATTATTTTAAGTCATTGAAACAGATTAACTCAACTTCATATGGCCTATTTGTTTTGGCCATTTATGGGAAAAGTTGTGATAGTGATAGGTGAGGAAACTAATAAGTAAAACAACTTCTCTTAATTTTTTTCTTGAATTGTTTCTGTTATCCAAATAAAATTTCTGTCTATTCAAACACAATGCAAACATAAGCAACATATTCTAGCTTATGTTTTATAACTAATGTTAAATACAGACAAGCTGGCAAGGCAGGTAGGGAAAGTGACCAAAAAAAAAAAATTCAATCTCTCTCGGGTTGAGACAATTTTATTACATTTCAAATAATTGATGGCAGATATAAATACAAATTCAGCTTAAATATTGATTATCAAATATTTAATAATTTAAAGATACAGAAGTTTGTTTTATTTGAATTTGACAAGCATTTAATTTATCAAACAGATTTAAATAAATGATGCATAACAAACAACAAAAAACATCAAATCTCTTCCTTTCAAAGAATAAATTCACATACTGGAAACAGCTTAAATTAAAAACTATTTTATAGAAGAAATTTGGCTAACTAATTATTTACAAACTACTTTGAAAATGTTAGCTGACATTTTTAATAGGGACAAACAATTTGAACAAAACATGAAAATTCAAACTTTACACTTAAGCATTTAGTTAAAATTGTTACATAAAATTTTAAAAAAATGACATTAAAACACTTAAGCAATAACTGAAAGGGTCACTGTATTAACTCTTTTGACTCTAAACTACAAGTCTTCACGTGCCTAGTCAATAAACATTAATTTTCTATTTTGTTGAAAAAGACTATACTCAGGAAGTGATAGGCTGGTCTACCTTTATTTCAGTTCTAACCTCCTGTCTCTGTTTATAAATGTACTAAATTTTATTTTGGAATTGTAGCCAGAATGTTGAAATTTATGTCCCTGTTAAGAGCAGCGAAGTCCCTTGGCCATCTGTCGTAGTACTAATACAGCAGCAAATGCTGCACCTTGGCCACTTATATCCTTGGCCAAAATCATTTTTACCTGAAATAAAAAATTTATCCAGCTTAATTTTATAATTTAAATAATAATAAAGTTTTAACTAACAACTATTGTTTTAACGAATAATTTAAAATAGCGACAAAGCATTTTTTATACATGATATATTTTCTCCTGTGATATTTTGTCTTGTGATTATTTGTCCTGTCATCTTAATTAGATATATAAAATATGGGTTACCTTAGTCTGTGGACTAAACTTCTCAAACACCTCCATCATGCTGTTGTGAAACTTTGGGTGCCTTTCGTGAATTGAACCATCAACTCCAATAGTTAATTCAGATTGTCTGGCATAGTTGATGAGAACTGACATGACTAGAATACAATACACAGGACTGAGATAATACAAGACAGGAATTACATTAGACATTATCTCACACATTAATCTCACAAGACTCAGTCTAATTAAGTACCCAGCATTAGTTGGGTGAGCCAACTTGCCAGCAGCTATGATGTAGGCTCCTCTATATGAAATAAACTCACACACTCCTCTCACAAGACTCAGTCTAATTAAGTACCCAGCATTAGTTGGGTGAGCCAACTTACCAACAGCTATGATGTAGGCTCCTCTATATGAAATAAACTCACACACTTCTCTCACAAGACTCAGCCTAATTAAGTACCCAGCACTAGTTGGGTGATTGAACTTACCAGCAGCTATGATGTAGGCTCCTCTATATGAAATAAACTCACACACTTCTCTCACAAGACTCAGCCCAATTAAGTACCCAGCATGAGTTGGGTTAGCCAACTTACCAGCAGCTATGATGTAGGCTCCTCTATATGAAATAAACTCACACACTTCTCTCACAATGGCAATGTCTTCTTCTGTAGCCACAGAATCTAGGTCAAATTTCTTCAAAACATTTTTTGTGTTTGTTGTGGAATCACCTACATCACTGGTAGTAAACAAAAAAGGTTATATATTAGCCAACACATCCTATTGGTTTAGGTCAGGGGTCGGCAAACTTTTGAGACGGAAGAGCCAAAAGTTACGATTTACAAAATTTCCCAGTTTTAAAGAGCCACTAACATTTTTATTTCAATATTATGATATTTGATTAGGATTTTACATATGTAGATTCCATACATATACACATACACATACATATACATATATTTATATATATATAATATTTTTAAATAAATAGCTTTCAATATGAAATAATATTTATTCAAATAAAAACATACACGTTTTTAACAAAAAATATTAAGGTATTTTAACTAGCTCTGCAAGAATGATAAAAATCATTCATCAAATTATATAACTATAATTATTTTAAAATATTTACAATAGTTTGGCCTTGCATGCCTTTTAAAAGTTTGTTTAAACCTGGCTCTTAAGTTGTTTTTAGTTTCAAGCACGCCTCTAGATTTTTATTTGTTAGTTGGTTTCTTTACTTTTTATTATATTCATGCAAGAAAACGCTTGCTCGCATGAATATAGTGACCCAAAGATCGTCAGCACTCCAAATGCCAACTTCTTTACCTCACTGTAGTATCCTGGAAGACTATTCCATGCGTCACATAATAGTGCCCCAACTCGTGACATTTCTTTTAGAGCTGTCTACTTGTGCAGCGAAACAACATGTTTTACTGGACCTCAAACTCTCCTAGCTTGCTCTTAAGATCTGTGAACCTAACACTCCAAATAATGTTTGGTTTTCAAATCCAGCAATTGCATTTGAAGCGAGCCAGCATCAATTCCAAATAGCTCAAAGTTAATTAACCTCATTTGTTTTTATGATGAGAGATTCTACTATGAATGTCAGAGTACTTGCATTTGTTTTGAATTGCTCAATTAAGTGAATCCAACCTTCATTGTGTTTATTGTAATGCTGAAGTAATTCATGTTAATAGCAGCATTGGTTACATCATGATATTTTTTTTAGATTTTTCAAAATTAAATAATTTATCTCTCTCTGTGTCTTCAAACAAAAAAAAAAGATATTTTTTAACAATCCACTTCTTCAAGCGAGGCATATGCTTGGTTTTCCTTTCCTTGCAGTTTTACATTTAGCACGTTTAGTTTCCTTGTGATATCCACCATGAAGTTAAATGTTTCAATTCGGGATGAACAAGTACATTGAAAATACGGAGTAACTAAACATTCTAATATAATAGCGAGTGTTTATTGTTTAAATTTATCATTATACGTTCAACACCGAATGTTGCAAAAAAAATTATGACTTTTAGTTTTATTAGTTTTAAAAATAAAATATAAAAAATTATTAATATTTGTGCATGGAGCTGAAGAGCCGCATCTTAACATCAAAAGAGCCGCATGCGGCTTGCAAGCCGCAGGTTGCCGACCCCTGGTTTAGGTTGTTAAATTGAATTTCTAAAAATACTCTTATATCATCATACCTAACTTATCTACTTTTATATTTTAATTAATGAATTATTTCTATTTAAGATGGTGGTATTACAGATGTGTTTACAATCTTGTTGTCTACAACAAATGAATACAATTTGAGAAAATAGTTTTAATGTAGATTTTAAAATCCCTGATATAGTTAGCTTTAAATTACTTGTTTATTGCAGCAAAAATATTACTACCAGGATGGAATGAAACTAAACTAATTTCTGGAATATTTTTAAAATATACAGATTTCTTTGTTGGATAACTGTATTAAGTTGGGAATAGGGCATTCCCCCCCCCCCGACATTACCCCCCAGAGTAATTACCCACTGTCAATTATCCCTCATCCAGTAGGACATTACCCCTCCTCCCACTGGACAGGGTCAGAATTAGGGTTAGGGCTAGGTTTAGGGCTAGGGATAGTGTTAGTCTTAATCCAATGTCTAGTTTTGGTTTTGTGTGAAGTTTTAGGCTAAGGTGGATGCTTAGGTTTTGGTCTTTTTCTTAAGGTTAGGATTAAAGCAGTATATAGGTATAGAATTCTAGTTAGAGTTAGGATTCCAACTTGAGATTGGGGGTAACTGGGGGGGGGGGGGGTAATTGACAGGGGGTAATTGCTCTGGGGGTAAATACGGGGAGGGGGTTGTCCTGTAGCCGTTAAGTCAATTGATTAAAGTGAATATAGAAACTACCACCACATGATTCAATTTCTTTCTGTAGAGTTACCTCTCCACGGATGTAACATGGGAGGTTGTAAACTCCCACCTCCCATCCACCAACTTCCCTCCCTGGCCATTGAAAAGTGTCCCATCTTTGATCAGCCTGACCAAAACCAGACGCACAAACTCTCCCAGGTACAACCCTGAGAACGATTTCTCAAACCTGAAACATAAAATGAAATTTTTTAAATCTGCACACAGTATCTACATGCATTAAGTAGATCACAATTTTAAAATTAATGATCCATAATAATTTTAAAAAGCAAAAGTTTAGATAATTCTATGTATAGAAGGTCCAGTGTGGTGAGACTGATGACTTTCCAGCCACATTAAGTGTCCCCAACATGTCATTTACTCATTAAAGTTGGGTGGAATCAGGTCAAAAATCTAGACTTGTCCAGGACCCAATTCATAATTTTTAGTGCATGACGTCAAATGTTTGACCACAATAAATATTTAGTAGATTCAAGGAACTAACGGAATATTTATAAATAGTAGGGTATAACGAGCAGTGTTCATTATAAAGCAAGCTTAAATTAAAATGGTATGGTTTAGACTCTGTAATTGTTTGTACATATTTGTTTTCATAAAACTTATATAATTAATCTAATACAGTTAAAATAACAGTTTGTACATTTCTGTTTCATTAGCATTGATCAATTGCAGGTGATAAAAAAGCAAACGATAATTCCTACTGACGTGTAGGATCCTGGAATATTTGAAAATTTGTCGATTTCTTTCTCGTATTCACTTGTGTAGAAGTCCATACAGCCGTTGTCTCCTGTAGATCCCAACATTACATGTGAAATGTCCTGGATTAGGATTAATGTTAGACAGATTAGGATTAGATTATTCAATGATATGACAGCTATTAGATTTAACATTCTCTTAGTAATCTTAATTTCCTTTTAAATAGCTAATGTAAATCATGAATGGTATTAGATATTTTAAATTAATATCTATGTTTTTAAGCATACTTTGTTTAGTATGTTGTTATGTTATATTTGTTAGTCATCACAGCAAAACTGGGTAGATATATGACAGTAATGGCAAAAGTATTATTTTAATGCAGTTCAAAACTAAGTTAAATTGTCAACAGATGAATGATTTACTATTTAATTTGACAAATTGCCTCAGTAATTGCTAACATCCGTTTGTTATATAATAAGTTTTATTTAGCAAACTTGAATAATGTATATAAACCTAAAATATTCTTACTTGCTGAGGGTTCTCATAGTCTCCTGTCCATCTTTCAATGTCTGAAATGTTTGCTACAAAAGCTGCGTTAGCTCCAGTACCTTGGGAGAAAGTGAAACCATGAAACATCATTAATTAAAGATCAGTGTTTCAAACTGACAAAAAAGAATCAGCCAGGCACATTACGATGAATGAACAACTCTACCATTACAAGCAATAAAAGGTTTAGATATAAACTCACAACAGGGATACTGGTAAAACCATTTGTGTATTCTTGACATGCAAGCTTGAGTTGTCATTCGTGTTTTGCAGCTTTTAACCCCGCCCCTCTCCAACGTCACAAAGTATCAAAACACTTTCCCACCCAAAAACAGCACTTAAATATAAGCCATCCACTTTTTTTCCCCCACTTCAGTTTAGGGGACATAACCATGCTAATGTAATTGGCCGAAATTATTAATTGATTTGTTTCCCTTGGTATAGCTAAAGTACTGTTTGTTAGGTATGTTAGTTTTGAGAGTGTGGGTGAGGAATGTGGGGTGCATATTTATTTTAGTACAGAGCATTTATCAGATTCATTTAATTGATCAATTTCCATAAAAATTATTTAAAATTCAGTTTAAAATTACCCTCTTTTAAAAGCAAATATATAACTGCACACTTTCATACCTCGCCACTTCCCCTTCGACATCGTCACACAATCCCACTAATGTGAGATCATTTAAGGACAACTTATCTAAACTAGCCACCCCAATTATTTGTCAAACTAACATTATAAAAATAAGTAAAAATTTACATCATAAATTCATCTTCACTAACCTATCCCAAGCCCAAATCTCCATTTATAATCCAGGCCGTTTCCTGCCATCAGAGCACTCACTGTGTCATTCAAGACAACCACCACGTCCACAGGCAAGTCCTGTTAAAAACAAAAATAACCATCATTTCATGATATTTATCTACATTATCTTTCAGACAACTGTAATTTTAACAAAACCGTAAAGTAATGTGACTACATTTTTGTTTTAATAGTTGAGTAATTCTCATAATAGCAGTTTATTTTTAAGAAAAAAAGCTTATTTTAACTGGAATTATTTTTGTGTAATTGTCACAAATAAAAGAGCATCCTATAGTAAAAGTAGCAATTAGTTCTAAATTAGTTAAGTACTGCAAAAAGTAATTTATATAAATTTTAACAAGTTGGTATCAGTGTAGTAATTAACAAAGGTGTGACCTTGGCTTTCCTCTGTATGGCAGCTTCAAGCATGGCAACAGGATTTCCACCAACACCATCTGGACATTTGAACTTTTTAGGGCTGGTCAAGATGATCCTATTGTATGCAAGTTGTCTGGACGAAAATGAAAAAGTGAAACCTGGAATACAGACACGAGCCGGTAAATAGAAATAAAACAAGAAGGAATAGTTATATATAAAAACATTTTATTTTTAATAACAATTTCCACAGACAAAAGAAAACATATAATAAAAAAGGGATAAATGATTTAAAATGTAGTGTTTTGAAAGAAACATTTTATGTGATGAATCATGGGTAAAAGAAGAATAATTTACACATAAGTATGTGGGTTTAACTTTGTAGAATATGATTAGGAGGTGAGAATCTGATTCCATATTATATTAGTGCCATTGAGCCACAAAAAAATGTGTTTCTTATATGTAATATTACAAAAATAAAATTTTAGCATTAACACAACAAATACAGAAAGAATACAAAGCTCTGTAAAACAAATATATTAAACCCAATTCAAACACATTTAAAACCCAATACAATAATGATTTATTGATTATTTCAAAAGTATATATTTCTACCTGCTGGAATTTTTTCCTTTGAATTAGCCAGCCCTTGATTTAGAAGAAAATCTTGAACACTTTCAGCAATAAAATCAAACACCTGTAAGAAAAAGTCATTTTGTTAAATTTTAAAATTGCTTCCATTTATTTTCATTATCTTAAATTGCCAGAATGAAATTCCGTTTTATTAATTGTATCACCGAATCAAACAATTTAGCAAAGAGTTTCCTTAGTTATATTAGTAGTATTTCTGAGGATAACCTTAAAAAAAAAATTGAATTTAAAATGGATTAGTTTGTTATTAAACAGAAAAGAGTGCAAAAGAGAGATAACTCATGTAAGCGCCACTAACAACATCAAGACTTGTATAAATTTTTAACAAAAATGAACCGACAGGTGGCAAACGCAAAGACAGACAACTCCTGAAGGGCCACTAACCCCAGCAGAAGGTCCACTCAGAGTTTCATCAGTCAGTTCGTAGTACTGTGTTGTTGTGTCTGCAACTCCATCTTTAAATCTGACTAGAACCACACGGAACTTGGTACCTCCCAGATCTAGACCCAGGTAGTCTCCCTGCTCTGGGCAAAACATTGGGCAAGTTTGACACATTCATAAGCAGGACATTATTTACGTATTGTTCTACTATCTTAGGCCCTAAATAACAAAATTCTGAATGATTTATAACTAACCCAAATATTCAACAATGTATAGTAAAGAAAAAAGTATTTTTAAAAAATACTCTTTCGCCACTTTCGGGCCTGATAGAGTTCATCTGCTTCTGTACCCTCTGGATTTTAGGGGATAGTTTGGTCAGTTCTGTGCTTACCCTCGCGTGTTGGTTGACTTGTCTTTTCGTGAAAGCAAGTAACTTTTTAACCTCACTCAGCTGCAGAGTTTCTTTAAGAGGCCCCACCCCCCAAAAAAATTTTTTTACCGCCCCCCCCCCCCCCCGAACGAAATGAAATTTATATAATTTATATAGAAAATATATACTTTTAACAGTGTCCACCCCGGCCCCCCCCCCTCCCTTCGAAAATTTCAAGTGACCCCCCCCCCCCCCCCCCCGGAGAAAAAAGTCTGGAAGAAACACTGCTCAGCTGCTCCAAGCTTAGGTAAAACAAAATGTGACTTATATAATAATCCCCATGTTGATGGGTCATCCATAAATGTCAAATAAACAGTACTATTTCTTAGTTAATTCTTTATACAGGCCTACCTCTGTTAAAGAGAGATTAATTAATATTGTACAGAAGATTTACAGTGTTATCTGGTCATCATTTTAGGGGCATTATGATATTTTGTGACAACGTCTTCAGCGGACCTTCATTTGTGGACAACCTATCATATCTTATGTGATTTGATAGATACATGTTTTATTCTTTAGAGGCATAAGTAAATGAAACAAACTACCTGTTCCATTATGTAATCTCCTGATAAATCCGCCCAGCATTAGGTCTGACTTTTTCCTGATGTTTTCATCTGAGCTGTTGGCTAGATGCATTTGTTCTTTGAATTCATGCATAAGTTTTTCTAGAATCTCATCAGTCAGGCTGAGGGGCTTCAGTACTTGTTCCAGCTAATTAGAACATTTAATTACAGCTAATTAGAACATTTACTTAAAGCTTATTAAACTTTTTGAAATTGTGTTCTTGAAGCTATGTAAAGCATTTTAAATATAATTTTAATTCCAGGAGCAAGTGAAAATTTGGGTAAACCTCTATTTTTATTACTGGCTTTTATGTAGGCCTATATTCATAGATATTTACTTTAACCCGCATTCTGATAAAATTAAGTAAAAAATGAACTGAATTTAAGAGATTATTTCAAGAAATCAAGATTTTGCTAGCTTTTTTTTTTTACTTTCTCGTATATACGAAGTATTGAGAAAGTCTTGTAATCGTGCAAAAAAAAAAATCGAGATTTTTACAAATCTCGACGTTTTACACCTCACTGATACGGAAAAACATAATTTTGCAATCTTGTCCGTATGTCTGTGTGTCTGTCTGTGTGTCTGTCTGTGTGTCTGTCTGTCTGTCCGTGTGTAAACACGATAACTTGAGTACCGTTACTGCTAGGTTGATGAAATTTCATATATAAGTATTTTATCAAAATCGTAGATTCGTATCAACTTTTGAGCGATTTCCGATAACCGGAAGTGGTACTTTTCCTACTTTGAATTTTTCAAAAGCCTATAACTTGAGTACTATGTCAGATAGATAAACGAAATTTCACATGTAAGTAAAAGATCTAATTCTCTACCTTCTGTTAAATTTTGAGTAATTTCCGTTGACCTGAAGTAGTAATTTACGCTACTTCCGATTTCTCAAAAAACTAATGTAAATTTTAAAAGTACTAATAATATTGCGCACTATTATGCGCTTTTTTATTTGGCGTTCACTTGGTGTGCAATTAATTTGTCTACGAGATTTTATTCTATTTTTAAAACTTTAAGTATTTAAAATGGATTAAAAATCATGTCTATAGCCTGAGTTCCCATCCCCTGTTATTTTATATAAGAATATTCGAGAAAGTTTAGGGGAGATCACTCCCGGTTTATTTTCTGACAGTATATTGCATTGTGAATGAGCATCCTTTTAATCCTTTACATTTTAATGCATTGCTGAATACCGACTTTGTTTATAGTCAGTCTTAATATTATCATTGTGTTATATATTCTAACTTTTAACATTCTATGATAAAATACAACCTTGCTCCATTTTTCTTCACTAAGTAGTTTTTGTGTTTTGAGTTTAGAATTTCTACCTTCAAAACTCATTTTTCATGTAGGCCTATAGTCTGAAAATAATAGAATTTAATTAAGAATAAAAGTATAAATTGAGGCTGCTGCCTAATAAGTAAATGATAATTAATCCTGAACTTTGAACCACTCAGTTTATTTTTTTTTTCTTTGTTCGAAACGAAAATTAAGTGCCCAAAATTATGCACATAAACCTGCAACAAATCTATATTTTAAAAATCAAGTTCTCGATAGGCTTTTATGTCGCAAATGTGAACGCAACTTTAGAACTCTCCTCAATGACATAGTCATAAAGAGTCAAAGATAGCATAGTCTGTTTTTTAAATTCTTCTTATCACACTACCCCTAAATCTGTCCTAAACTATACGAGCCGACCCGCGGCGTATCATAAGCCGCTATTTAGTTGTTTTATTTTCTAATTTTCAGTAATTCAAAATTTATGAATTCGACAGTACCGACGCTGCCACTGAAAATATTTGCTTTAAAACACTAGGGGGTCATTCATAAATGACGTCACACTCGTAAGGGGGAGGGGAGGGTCCGTAATTTTGTGACGATGTGTGATGAAGGGGAGGGGGGGGGGGGTCAGATGTTGCGACGTCACACTTTTGCATTATAAAAAAGCAATGTTAGAAAACGAATTTTAGACGTTATTTCGCGTTTTAGATAACTGTTTTAATAAATTGTAATAGTTTAGACAAGAAAAGTATCGATGTTTAAAAAAAAATTCATCTGCAATTTTGAGGGGGTTGTAGGTTGAGGTGTGACGTCGTTTTAAGGGGGGGGGGGTCTGGCTTTTTGTGACGACGTGTGACGGAGGGGAGGGGGAGGTAAAAATCGTCCAAAAAGCGTGACGTCATTTATGGATGACCCCCTATCAGTAGCTCGTTAAGGACGATAACCCCCCCCCCCCCCCTCCTTTCCCCAACCCCTACCCCACACCCCCTCCCCGTGAAAGTAAACTCCTCTTCGTTACCTCCTCTAAGTTTAAAATCGTTTCAAACTAAATTATCTGCCCCTAATAGCCGTCACTAAACCCGTCTCTACGATTGTAAACATTTAGCGTGAACCACAGCTCATCAGGCCATGTAGGGGTGGGGGTGGTAGGGAGCGCGCTTACAGCTTGTTTTCTATCGTCTCCAAGAAGACAATTATATATATAGAAGATATAAAGCCGCCACCCAATCCCTAATCTAGACCTTGTATGATATTTATGCTATTTATAACTCCGACCCTAACAGTGTAACAACGATGTCGACAGACAAAATTTTACCTTTAGATCGCTGCTGTTGTAGAATTTTAGCCTTGCCTGTGTTTTATCAGAAACATTTGTTTTGTAACTAGTAGATCTAGGCCTACATTGCATTTACAGAGCAGCATACCTAGCTCTACAATTATACTATATGTAAGAGTCTATAATTAGCTTACGGGCTGATACAACTTTGATAACATATACACTAATATACAGATTTAAGTCGTGATATCTAACTAATTATAAAATCTGACGGAGTAATTTCCGTAATTATGTGACGATGTGTGATGAGGGGAGGGGGGATTCAGACGGTGTGACGTCACAATTTTGCATTATAAAAAGCAATATTAGAAAACTAATTTTAGCCGTTATTTCGCGTTTTAGAAAACTGATTTAATAAAGTGTAAAAGACATTGAATATAGTACTCTATGTTGACAGAGTTTAGACAAGATTTTAAAAAAATATCGTATTTTAAGAAAAGTTGAACTGCAATTTTGAGGGAGGGTTCTAGCCTAAGGTGTGACGTCATTTTAGGGGAGTCTGGCTTTTTGTAACAATGTGTGACGAAGGAGAGGGGGAGGTAAAAATCGTCAAAAAAAAAGCGTGACGTCATTTATGGAGGACCCATTATAGGACGAATGCTAGAGCGAATTAGGTCTGGAGTTCAGATCTCGGTTTAGACTGGGATCCGGACAAAAGGCTGACATGGACAAAAGGCCGACACGGACAAAAGGCCGACAAGACAAAAGGCCGACAAGACAAAAGGCCGACAAGACAAAAGGCCGACACGGACAAAATGCCGACAAGACAAAAGGCCGCCATCCAAAAGGCCGACAAGACAAAAGGCCGACAGGCAAAAGGCCGACAAGACAAAAGGCCGAAAGCCAAAAGGCTGACAAGACAAAAGGCCGACAAGTTTTATAAAACAACAAACTACTATTACAGACATGTTTAATTTTTTTATTGAAAACCAGTTACATAATGATAAGGGAATATTACAAAATAGAAAAAAATAGGGCCTAGTATAACAAATTGTACGCGACGCCACGCAAAAATTCAAGTGTAGTTCTGTTTCCCCTTTCTCCAATTACATTTGTTATTCTGTCCTCTTTCTGTAAATATTTTTTTTTTCTCTTTTTTGCTGGCTCTCCAAGCAATATTGCCTCCATCTCTACTTCAACTCTACCTTGTTGCTGCTTTAGTCTTTTTAGTAAACAAAAGACTCCAGGTTGATCCTTCCCTACAATTACCTGCCACCTCCTGTGCCACCCCTCAACCGTGTTTTGTGTCCTAGGAATCCCATGTACATGATTGTCATGTACAGACCAGAACTCTGGTGGAAAAAGTCGTGGAACCATCACCTCTCTTGTGTTTAACAACCTCACTCGACCACAAACGTAGGTCTCATCAAACCACTTCACCAACTCAGTTGTGTTTGGTGGGAAAATGTTTTTTAATTCATTAAATGCTGCCGGAATCTCTGCACTTGGAAGAAATGCCAGTGCTGCTATTTGCCGCATCAGCAGGCAGAACTGTGGATCCTGACCATAAAGAAGTGCCAAGCCCAACGCTTGTAGCTTTCGCCATATATTTTGGCTAAAATAAAAAAAAACACCATTTACTTGTAGCTGTTGGGAATTCAATGCAAGCATTTATTGCAGCTTTTTTATCAATACATCACAAAGTATTTAAGATATGTATTAATAGGTAAAATACATTAATAGATATCTATCTTCATTGCCTCTCCTCACTTTTAGCTGTAACACGTATGAGAGAAACCTGTAACGATCACACAGGTTTATTCCATTATGTAACATATTGTAACATTAAACTTTGTTTCCACAAAATTACGAATAAGCTCATCAGGTGTTGGCTTACAATAGTACTGAGCTTATTATAGTGATAACATTATGTTAAGACTGTTGCTAATCTACTCCAATCAGGTTTTTATAGACAGCATACTTGAAATGATTGTTTTCTATGAGATACAAAAATGCAAAGTTATTGATTTGCATACAGATGTTGGATACCAAAGGCTTGAGTTTGGATCCATGAGTCCACCCATCTATGAGAAGCACATTAAGGTTTTGAAGTAATACAACTTTACATATTTTTTTCTTGAATTGTTTCAGTTATCCAAAAAAAAATTATGTCTGTTCAGACACAATGCAAACATATAAGCAACCTATTCGAGCTTATGTTTTATAACAAACAAACCGACCCGTGGCGTATCATACGCTGCTATTTAGTTTTTTCTACTTTTCAGTAATTCAAAATTTGTGAATTCGACAGTACCAATGCTGCCACTGAAAATATTTGCTTTAAAACACTAAAACCCTCCTTTCCCCCAACCCTCCCCCCCCTCATGAAAGTAGCCTCCTCTTAGTTACCTCCCCTAAGTTTAAAATCGTTTTAAACTAAATTATCTGCCCCTAATAGCCGTCACTAAACCCGTCTCTATGATTGTAAACATAGCGTGAACCACAGCTCACCAGACCATGTGGGGGGGGGGGGTAGCGATATGCCTAGAGGGGAAGAGAGGGGGCTGCTAGGCACACTTACAGCGTGGTGTTTTCTAGGGTTTCAAGAAGAGAATTATGTATATAGTTGTTATATACAGACAAGCTGGCAAGGCAGGTAGGGAAAGTGACCAAAAAAAATTCAATCTGTATTGGGTTGAGACAATTTTATTACATTTCAAATAATTGATGGCAGATATAAATACAAATTCAGCTTAAATATTGATTATCAAATATTTAATAATTTAAAGATACAGAAGTTTGTTTTATTTGACAAGCATTTAATTTATCAAAGAGATTTAAATAAATGCTGCATAACAAACAACAAAAAACATCGAATCTCTTCCTTTCAAAGAATAATTCACATACTGGAAACAGCTTAAATTAAAAACTATTTTATAGAAGAAATTTGGCTAACTAATTATTAACAAACTACTTTGAAAATGTTAGCTGACATTTTTAATAGGGACAAACAATTTGAACAAAACATGAAAATTCAAACTTTACACTTAAGCATTTAGTTAAAATTGTTACATAAAATTTTAAAAAAATGACATTAAAACACTTTAAGCAATAACTGACAGGGTCACTGTATTAACTCTTTTGACTCTAAACTACAAGTCTTCACCTGCCTAGTCAATAAACATTAATTTTCTATTTTGTTGAAAAAGACTATACTCAGGTAGTGATAGGCTGGTCTACCTTTATTTCAGTTCTAACCTCCTGCCTCTGTTTATTAATGTACTAAATTTTATTTTGGAATTGTAGCCAAAATGTTGAAATTTATGTCCCTGTTAAGAGCACCTAAGGCCCTTGGCCATCTGTCGTAGTGCTGATACAGCAGCAAATGCTGCACCTTGGCCGCTTCCATCCTTGGCCAAAATCATTTTTACCTGAAATAAAAAATTTTATCCAACTTAATTTTATAATTTACATAATAATAAAGTTTTAATTAATAACTGTTGCTTTAACGAATAATTAAAAATAGCGTAAAAGCATTTTTTATACATATCTTTTCTCCTAAGATATTTTGTCTTGAGATCATTTGTCCTGTCACCTTAATTAGATATATAAAATCTGAGTTACCTTAGTCTGTGGACTAAACTTCTCAAACACCTCCATCATGCTGTTGTGGAACTTTGGGTGCCTTTCGTAAATTGAACCATCAACTCCAATAGTTACTTCAGGTAGGCTGACATAGTTGATGAGAACTGACATGACTAGAATACAATACACAGGACTGACATAATACAACAAAGGACATTAGAAATTATCTCACACATTAATCTCACAAGACTCAGCCCAATTAAGTACCCAGCATTAGTTGGGTGAGCCAACTTTCCAGCAGCTTCGATGTAGGCTCCTCAATATGAAATAAACTAACACTTCTCTCATAAGACTCAGCCCAATTAAGTACCCAGCATTAGTTGGGTGAGCCAACTTACCAGCAGCTATGATGTAGGCTCCTCTATATGAAATAAACTCACAAACTTCTCTCACAATGACAATGTCTTCTTCTGTAGCCACAGAGTCTAGGTCAAATTTTTTCAAAACATTTTTTGTGTTGGTTGTGGAATCATCTACATCACTGGTAGTTAACAAAAGAGGTTGTATATTAGCCAACACATCCTATTGGTTTAAATTCTATTTTCAAAATATAGAATAAATGTAAAAACTGAATTAATGAGAACAGTAGAAATATATCAAAACCAAAGATGTAAATATCAAGTAATATCAGTAAAACTACAACTGGTGATTTGAATTTTTAAAAATTTACTTTTAATTATATTTTTAAAATTGTGGTATTAGAGATGTCTTTACCATCTTATTGTATACAACATAAGAATACAATTAGAGAAATTAGTTTTAATGTAGATTTTAAAATCACTGATATAGTTAGCTTTAAATTGCTTGTTTATTGCAGCAAAAATATTATTACCAGGATGCAATGAAAACTAAACATGTTTCTGGGATATTTTAAAAATATACATTTTTTTTTTGATAACTGAGTTAAGTCAAATGATTAAAGTGAAAATAGAAACTACCACATGATTTAACTTTTTGTGTGTAGAGTTACCTCTCCACAGATGTAACATGGGAGGTTGTAAACTCCCATCTCCCATCCACCAACTTCCCTCCCTGGCCATTGAAAAGTGTCCCATCTTTGATCAGCCTGACCAAAACCAGACGCACAAACTCTCCCAGGTACAATCCTGAGAACGATTTCTCAAACCTGAAACATAAAATGAAATTTTTAAAATCTGCACACAATATCTACATGAATTAAGAAGATCACACTTTTAAAACGAATGATCCATAGTTAAAAAAAGAAAAGTTTAGATAATTCTCTGTATAGAAAGTCTAGTGTGCTCAGCACTATGCCCTAGACTGTCCAGCCATATTAAGTGTCCTTAACTTGTCATTTACTCATTAAAGTTGGGTGGAATCAGGGCAAATCTCTAGACTTGTCCGGGACCCAATTCATAATTTTTAGCGCATGGCATCAAATGTTTGACCACAATAAATATTTAGTAGATTCAAGGAACTAATGGAATATTTATAAATAGTAG